GCCCTGTATTGTTTAAAGTCCATCAAACTGAATGCGGTTAAGCGTCCACGAGACGCCCAAAAATACCCGTAACAAAGCACGCTGGAATCCAGTTTCGCCCACGCTCAGGCACATAGCGGCTTTTTGGTTACACTAAGAAAGCATTTCCATCAAAAAGCAAACTTTGAGCCAAAACCTGATCTCGAATTATTAGGAAATTCGGTACCCGGAATATCTCCGAAGTGGAATGAAATTCGAAAATGGCTTGGCTACGCGCGAAAGTTTTCGAGAGGAACGAAGCTACAAATGAAAAAGATATAGATCACCTAACTGTAAATACTTTGTAGTTTATATTATTTTTTATGTCATAACAACCTGTACAGTCTGTAAATGCTGTAAAAGTCACCTTTGTACAGGAAGGACATTGCGATTTGCGCTGAAGGGCGTTTCTGTAATAATGAGCCGACACTATGTTATTAGTAACTAAAATAGGAGACAGATTTGAATCTTGCGCTGTGGCTTCGCGCATTATCGAGGAACGAAGCGACCTCGTTAATAAGGTCTTTAGTAATCCCGGTGGCAGTGCGAAGACGTCCAAAACGCATCCGTTACACGACACTTTCCCATACAGCGCAGTGAAGCTGGTATGTACGATAAGAAAGCCGGCGTATAATGTACATCGTCCCAATCTGCGAGGTTCCCTTCCGACGAAGAAAACTGTCAGCATCACCCGCATGAAATTGCAGCTGATTTCCTGCTTTCCTATCCCGACACCAAGGGCCGGTGGCCATCGAATACGTCCTTGTGTACGCCCAGTCTCCCGGCAGTAACAACTGCTTGGAATACGCTTTTGCGTATGCGTATGGTCTTCTGCGGGGAAGCAGTTGAAAAGGGTAAATTACGCCCGGGACGAAGATTTGCGACAGTGGTTCTTAAATAAATAGGATCGCAACTCCTCCACAGTGAAGAAACGCACGAAGATAAACTCCTGTGACCAGTAATAATAATTTTGTAGCGGGCCTAGCGGCAGATGATGTACAAGTGGATGGGAATCCCTACTTAGGTTGGTAATACGTACCGGTTTCCGAAAGACTGCGGAGTGACTGACTAGTTACAATTTGACTGATGCGATAATTAAACTCTAGGACTCTAGGACTGAGAACTCCAGGTTTCAACAACTCTAGGGCTGAAAAAAATCTCGATATTGATTAGTGGGTATGGCCATAAATAGTATCGCCGAAGAATTCTCGCGCGTAGACATGACGAATAAAAATATTCGTATCAGGCGCCAGAATTTTCAGCTTCTGTACTGGTACTGGAATTCTGTACTGGTACTGGTACTAGCGTGAATTGTGCTACTTTTAGTCTTCTACTGTAGAAGTAGTTATGAACGTCCTACCGTCGGTTCAAGAATGATATCTGAAATGAGAAGCGCTAAATGAGGGAAAATGGCAAAACCTGAAACGAAACCTTAAAGAGAATTTTGCACATTTAAGCGAAATCTCCGTGTTGTACAAGCCTGTATGCAGAGCCCAGCTCTGGTCACGCTATGTTTTCGTTTGGTTTTCACTTCGGGATGGGAGTGAGTGTCGCCCGTGGCCCCGTGCGCAACCACCACCCTTACGGACTGTCTGATACTGAGCATATAGCTGTAGTCGCGTCATTTATTGCAGGATATCACTTCGGACGAGAACTTTGCGTTCGTTGAATTCGACTCCAGGAAAAAGACTGCGTGTTGGATTCTATCCTGCTTCGTATACCCTTTGCCGCTCATTTTCGACAGCAAGTCACTGACAGATTGGAAGGATAAGCCAATATGGGTGGCGCTACGAGACGAGATGGACGGACCATTTCGCTTTCGTCCTGCCACTTTGCTGGCTTGTGTTCAAAGTGAGTTCTATAAGGAAGGACTACCGATCACATGTTCCGTTTTCATGTCGGCCAAAGCGTCTCGGCTTGGGCACATTTAGGCCGCTATTAGGCGGGTCAATGGTATTATTTTATGCAAAGCAATAACTGTAGCTTGTTAAAAATCATAAAAGCGTAACAAGCATACGCACAAAACCTTGTGAAACCAAAGAAAACTTAAGAAAGCCTAAGAATGCATACGGAATTTTAAGAAACTCCGATGGTTTTCACAGTTTGTCGCTTGTGTTACGTAAGCTGGGAGACTTCTGACGTAACAGACCACACCTCTACTACCTTGATTGAAGTGGTGGACCGCTGTCAAATAGTGGAACAGCTGCCATCTAATGAACTGCGCATCCAAGATAAAAGCAACCTTTTGACGTACAGGAAGTACATTATCCCTATTCTGAAAACGGACCAGGTTCTGCAGGAAGCCGCCGATGTATACCGCATCATCGCACTGTTTCGCCGCAGCTACCAAGAGGATCGTTTTAATCCCGCAACTGCGCTGTCGGACGGTTGTCGATTTCACCTTAGTGTTGAATCGAAGTCTTGCACTTTCGTTGTCATAACTCATACTATGGACACAATCGTTGAGCACGAAAGGACTAGACTTGCTTTGCATGCGGTTCTGGATAAACACTTCAAGAGCCGGCATCATGGACCACCTTTAAAATACCTGGACTGCCCCGACAACGGAGAATCTTGTGGGAACATTAATGATGCGAGTGCAACTTTTTGCGGTAAAGGTTGCAATCATAGACTTGGACTACTGTAGTAATAGCAAACGCACTTATTAATACGATATTAACTTATTAAATAATAATGTTATCTTAACATTACATAATTAACAATAATATGAGTGGCTTTGGAAAAGTGCCGGAGACGCTTCGGCAACGCTCATGGTATGGTATGGTAGCAACTGTAAGAATTACCCACAGTCGAAACGTGCTAAACAGTTTTGCAAAATTTGTTTGAGAAATCTCGTTCAGAATCGGATGATTCGGGTTAGACTGTACTAAACGATTGTTATGTTACAGCATCTGAGATTACTGATCCGGAACCCAGTGTCTGCAGTATTTCCCATATTATTTTAATTGAAATATTGGCTAATCTGGATCTTCAAGCTCGAATGCGGATGAGACGGTGAGTTAGTTAGTTGTTGGCCATCGCGCCTTACAGTTTGCTTACTCTAAAATCGCCCCCAAGCTTCCAGCAAAATGGTGCTAGACTGGCCGCTGCTGACTACACAATTTGCAAAAAATCTGCCGACTGCGGGAATCGAACCCGCAACCTCTATTCTCTAAGGCCGAGAGAGGCACCACAAGGCTATCGGCATAACTGGAGAATTTCGTAAGATATTCTCAGTTACAGCCGGCAACCTAACGAACAGAGCCACGCTGGTTAGTTTTCTTAGGTTTTGTTTGTTGGTCGGAGTTTGTGGTCAGAGCCAGTCAATGTGAGACATAGACTTTGAATACTTCGTAGTCAAAACGATAGTCTTAGACCTTAGTGATCGGATTGGTTTTTAGTGGTGGTTTTAGTGGTATGTAAACTGATGCTGACTGCTCTGACAGTTAGTATCCAGACGCTATATTTCGTTCATTTGTTGACGATTTTCTACTTTAAAGCCCCTTTGATTTGTTTAGCGTTTGCTGGTTGTGGCATGCGATATCCAACACTCCTGGGGCACACGACGAGCACATCACCATCAGCCTCAAAGGTTGTGTCTCTACGGATTGCCTGATCGACAGTTGCTACAACGTGGCACTATTGCTGCATCGGTCAGTCAGTGCAGCGACCAAGAGCCTCACCATAACGGACCTCAACTTCGAGGAGCACACTTTCTTCATCCCCGCTTGGCTGGGCGTTACAAATCTCCACCTGCCCCGGGTCGTCATTGGAAATGGCCGCTTTCCTTTCGGTGGTTGCTTGCACGATGACGCGAGTTCGTTGCCGAAACACGGCATCATGCGCCTCATTGAGCCCTTCAGAGACCACTGTCGAACCTTGATCCTGCACAACTACAAAGTATCTCGTCTCTTTTGTAAACCTATTTTGTATGTGCTTCACGACGAAGATCTAGTCCCGCTTCCCGAGGCGGAGAAACAGTTGATAATCCCAGCAATCGACTTGATGAGAAAGGGGCTTGGAAATTTATTGACTATTAATACCACCGAGATCACCCTGCGCCGGGTCATTCTGCCCTGCGTCGACGGTTGGGAGTGCGTCATGAGCCGGTTCCTGCGCGCTATCGACGCCGCCTTCCCTGCCGCCGGCGCCGATGTGTACCGGAAAGTTCGGGCGATTCACGCTCGCTGGCTGGACAAGCTCAGTTATCCCGATGAATGGCAACGCATTCGCCACATGTTGTCCGTGTAAGTCTGCGACGTGATACATCTGTAGTGTACGTATTGCTGTTGTTTAATGGAGTGTGGTGACTTCATTAGTCGGAGCATATTTGATGTTCTTTGCGAATTAAATAAGGATATGTGATAATGCCGAATTTTACCCGCCTTGGCTATTCAATAACCAAACAATAATCAACCAGTCGTGCTGCAGTGGCAGTGAGAACGGCTGCGATACCGTCACATCGGTTGCACGTGATCATATAGATCGACTGATGCTGATGAAGTAACAGAGCGCCACGAACAGTTAGAAAATCACGTTGTGCACGGTAGATTCGGTGGATTTGAATCGGACGGGACACCACTACTCTGGGACAATGTTGACCTGAGGCAGCTGGACTTCGGCCAGCTGAGCACGATGGCCTTGTTGGCCATCAGCGAGGCTTTTCGACTGTAAAAAGACTCTGCAGTGTTTTTTTTTGTGCGTGCAGTTGTTACGGAGACATAGCCGGACGGAGACAGCCGGAGAGATAAACAGCCACACATATGGCCAGCGCCCGGCATAACTAGCTATTCACGTGTTTACATTTAGAATCATGTACAGCAGTAAATGTACTGTACATATTATCATGTGCGTAATACATCTTTCAATGATCGCGCTGTCTTGAAGTGTATCCATCAATCATACACATCTGGCAGTTAACGTATATGTACCTACTGACCGCTGTCCACTCTGCATTTATGGTTAGTTTGAAAATATGGTAACTATGTATCGTATATGTACCTACGTCTTCTGTTCCTGGCCTTGGCCTCCGTCGGCGGATTCGGATCGGGGATGGTGGAGTGGATGCCGGCCTTCTTCAGCGTGTCCATCAGCTCGCCGCTGCGGTGCATCTGCAGCAGGTTGACGCTCCCGCCCACGAACTCCCCGCCGATGAACACCTGCGGGATCGTCGGCCACTTGCTAAAGTCCTTCACGCCTTTATTAACATAACAATGCAATTACAACGAAGCATACTTCCACGCTGTCAAACTAGCACAAACAGCAGTCACGCAAACCAATTCATGATATACTGTACGTATCAAAGAACACACCAGATGATACTGTACATGCTAACCCAAAATACCTTTTCAAAAAGGGTGTTATAATCAGAAATAAACCAGTTCATAAAATAACATTAACAAAATATTCCAATAAATTTTAGTTTTCCTTCCTAGAATTAATTATTATAATTTAATATATCGAATGTTTTAGTTTTAGTCTAGTCAGAATAACTGGATAATAGGGTTGGCAATGGACCAATGGTGTAGAGTGTACAGTGCGGCGAATCCTTCATGTGCACATCCTCAGTCGTTGCGCATATGAATAGCCTGTCGGCGTCCGGTGAACGGTCCGGTGTGGATCTGCTGTGGATGTCCTGTTATTAAGTGTGTAGTTTCGACAGATTTATAGCACTAATTCAGCATGCTGTTCTGGGTAGAACAAACAAAGATAATGATTACATTAATTGTTATCTTGCATATTTTGTCAACAATTTCTAGGTTGAGATTTATGGATGAAATAAACGTCCTCCGGGAAAGCAGCTGGTCATAGAAATGTCTTTATATTCATAGAATCTTACCCTTTAAAACGTACTGTAATTCCTCGTGGCTCTTATGGATTCCTAAACGGCTAATCAGTTTAGGTCGAACGATGTGCCGAAAAGTTCCATATTTTCCATAGTTGTATAATACTATATTGTACAGTGTATAGCACTGTATACTTCATGATCATATATAATTGTTGCATATTTTCCATAATGTTTGTTGGTTTCTAAGGGTCTGTGGTCAGAAAATACTTTAAGCTGTTCCAACGTGCTGGCAAAGAAGAAGCACGCTGCAGATTTTAGCAAATACTTAGTATGGGGTCATCCCGAAATTTCGTAAAAAGGACAAACAGGGCCGCCCTTATCTTTTGGAAGAGGCAGCGCGAGGGATTCCGCCCGGTTCTCCAACTGGAGAAATAGCCCATAATTCTATGAAATATGTACGTAGACAAGCGGATGTTTTGAGCCAGTTTTCTCTATTTTTTGACGTATTTATTGTCTTGGGGGGGTTGCAACTGGGCCGTTGGGGGCGCAAGCGGATACATCTGGAAGACATCGTTAGCCTGCGTATCCGTTTGAGGGAGGCCCTCACCAACGATCCGCAGGCTAACGATGCCAGCCGTTATTCAAGCGCTGGAGGACCGCGTTCCCGCCGACGGTAGGCAGCGTGCATGCGCGGTGTGCGGCAAACAGGCCCGGTGGTGGGAGGTCACCGGCCTGAAACGTTGCTAGCCAGTTGCGCGTGCGGATGCCGGCGTGACCTTGCCCTCTTTGCTGGGATGCCGCGCCGACTTTCTGCGCCCGGGGCAGGATTGTCAGTGGGAATGAATGGACCGTGCAGCGCTGCGTCGGCAATGTGCAGGCCAGGGAGAGTGTTCGTAAATACTCGGTGTGGTCGGAGGCTTTAATATTCTTAAAACCATTCCGCGCTACTGCGCTACAGCAGCGGAATAACAGTAACATAAACCACATAGTAGCACTGGCAGACTGCTACCGCAGTTGCCATGCTGAACACAAAGGTCACCGCGGACGGACAATCTCGTGGCATCGCTGCCACTGTACTACGCCTAAGTGTCCACCAACACCGAACGTTATTTCACAGTGATGTTGCGTCCTGGGTCATCTGTGCTTCCGGAATACGGATAAACAGCTCCTTCAGCTCCTCAGTTTGTCTGCAGACCAAGAACGTGCTGTGCCGAAATCACTGCCGTTAATGAGTGATTGTTTCTTTAGTTACAAATTATAAGATAGACGAAGCTTCGCCACATCGTGCCGCTGGTATGCTTTCTCGCTGTCCAGTTTCTTCATCGGCTTGCTTTTTGCTAATGACCTATTACAATGTTTTGTGTAGTCTGTAGGTGATGAGATACAGTATGTAATGAGGAATTTTTTATTACAACAGAATTGTGCGTAATACTAGCATGGATCGTTTTGAATATTGATTGCCTTCTGATCGGTTGGAGACGTGAGAATACTTGCTGTACGGTAATAAGGAAAACAGCGAAATAAATGGAGAGAATTAGTTGTTGCGCTGTATCTGTACAAACAGAAGAGTAAGGTACCACAATTAATGCCGCCTGACATATACTGTACATGAAGAGAGCTAGCAACATTATTAAAAGAGGGATTCAGTTGAGCTCTTAACGGGCAGATTTAAGCGCATCCTGAGGAGATGCATCAGTGATATAGATCTAAGTGGCAAGTTGCCGGCGCCGTGTGTGCCGGTCCGGAATTAAGGGAGGCTAAGGGAGCCTCTGCGTCTTACATATAAAGCTTAGGCACAGGATCCGGGCGGAGACAGGAGCGTCGTTGCGCCTGTATCGATCCGCTCCGCTTCGTGTAATATATTTGCATTGTAGTCCGGCAGTGCAACCGGCAGCATGCGGGCTGTTGTTGTGCTGACAACGCGGCCGAAGAAATCAAACAGCGAGCGAGAGAGAGCCACGCGGCTGACTCGGAATAACAGATTCCCTAAACTTCCGCCCAGCCCGGCCCGTGCCACGCTGCAAAGTGCTGTGTAATTCCCCTTGCAGAGTTTGCTACGCCAAGCAGAATATCAATTCAATGCACTGTAAATCAGTTAAAGTGGAAACTGTAGCCGATCTGCGATGCAGTTTCCTTCTGTATTGTGCAGGTGAACAATAGTTGGCAGGTCAGTTTGTTTTGGCGCCGCACAATGTAGTATGCACCTACTGTGTGCGATGTTTGCCGACGCACGCGGTTTTTCTCGTCAGTTAAATGGTGGAAGTATTGTTAGTTTAAGAAGCGGTATACGGTGATGGTCCATGTCGCTGGGCTCGAACGCTGTGCGCCGGAAGTTGATCTTCGGGAAAAACGGACGCTGATTAATTGTTGCCGGTGTTTGTATAATTACTCGTAACAGCGGCGGTTCTATAGCGCTACAATGTCCTCCCAATTGAAGGGCAGTTTAATTAAGGAAAGCGACAGTGGTAAGGCGAGTTGCCCCAAATAACCAGTAGGTTGTATACGGTTGGCCATTCGCTGGGTACGGTTGGCCGCAACTACGGTGTAATATACGACCGTGGAACAACCATGTACGATCCGCGCCACGACGGCCGTCCAACGCACGCGCACGGCCAGCGACCGGGACTGCGCTCCTGCCGACAGGACTTCCCGGCCGTCTTCTCCTCCTCCGAAGATTTCCCAGGTACTGCACATCACAATACTTCATAGTTCAAGTAATATACTGTAATTAAGTATCGTCAAAAGCGAAACAGCCCGTTGGAATTAAGCAGTGCTGCGCAGTGTGCGTTGTACGCACTATATATACTGTACAGATATACAGCTGCAGGATTACGATACATGTCAATCATGTCATAAAAGATGTGCCGTGCCGCATAAGATCCATTAAGAAGCCGGTAATTATTATTTGACAGCGCGACGTTGGACGAGTTCAGAACAGTGCACACTGTTTGAAATACTTCTATAGAATGTACTCGGTTAGCCAGGCAGCGAATTCAGGAATTTAAATGGGAACTGATGATACTGGTCGACTACTACAGATAGACTAGCTGAGGCAGTGAATGAAGGTCGGACGGGAGACCCGGGGCATGATCGATGCCGGAGCTGAATATTGGAATATTAAGCAGGAAGAAGTTAAATCAATTCCGTCCGATCCTCCGCCGCAGTGCCGCGCGCCGGCCTAGTGAGATATGCATCTACTTGTAATTTTACAAGGTACTAGTACTATATGGTACGGCGATCGTATAAGTCGGCAGGTATTTAACGTCTGGTCTGGCGTCCCTGCCGCTTCCCATGGCCGATGTGGGACAACATAAGTACGAACTACACTTAATTGCATCTCGCACTGACAAGTCACACGCAGCCCCGGCCAGGCGTCTGTATCGCACGATTCCCGATTCGGCGATTCCCTCCCACAGATATGTATAGGTATATACTTACCTATGCTATAACCGTACGTGCATGTATACGTGATTAACGTGTAGTTGTGGAGGCAGTTTAAAAAGTACTTAGTGTAAATACATCAGTGGACGGATGATGCATCGTGCAGCTGTGTCCGTATCATCCTGCCAGCACATCCACAGCCTGCACAGGCAGATGCAGGAGCTGGTGTGCGTGCCCGCCGGCAGGGAAAGGGGATCGGGCAATCGGCGTGGGATGATTGCTTCGGCGGTGGCGATCCATGCGCGTTGGATCAAATATATACACTCAGTTGCATAACGCTGCCGGGCAAATAACAATCCAATAGCACTGTGCCGGTCTTAACCGCTCCTGAATAGTCAATATATATCCTGATCATGGTTAAGGTCGACCGACCTGCGTCGCGCTAGCAGGTACACCGTACATGCAATACGCTAAGTATGTACGTATTATAGCACAGCTGCAGGCAGCCACGTCATAAAACTGCAGGAATGATTAGCGTCTGCAGCTGCGTGACTGCCGTCGATCCTGCCATATCCCCGCACAGCCAGACTGATCCCGCTTCGATCCGTCACTGTCACTAATTTCCAACACATTTATGCTGCACACGGGCACCGTCGACACTGTTTCGTCCGTAATTAATGCTGATTCTGCTCGATTAACATTTAACACCCGCCCGTCGACCATTAGATTAAGCAGATTAGCGGCTAAACGCAGACCGGCAGACGAGAAGGTCAAGGCAATTAGCTTAACCGCTTGCGCAATCAACCGTAAGGGGCAACTGCAGTCTAATCCATAGCGTCCTGTCGCGAGGGTAAAGATCACATCCTGAGTTGGAGCGGTTGACTTTCTTAGAAATAACTAAGGTATATATTGGCAGAGCACTGGATCTTGATGGAGAAGGATGCCTCGGGGCCCGAGGAGAGCCTGCCGGATGCGGACAGCACGGCCGCCCTGGCCGGTGACCTTTGCGCCGTGGCTGGCGGTGAAGCGGCCGGCAGTGGCAATGGCGGTCGCAGCGACAACGACCCCTTCGGCGTGCCCAACGGCATGGCGCAGCGGGCCTTCGCGCACCCCGAGCGCAGCGACAGCGCCTGCGCCGGCGAGGGCATGGGCGCCTACAACTACTCCTGCAGCCTCGACACCGCCGCGCCCTACGAAGGTGCGTGAACATCAACGCTATCATGTTGCGCGGACCGTCTGCTTCCGTTCGCCTGTATTAAGCAGACTGTTTAAGCACACTGCGCACCTGTCACGCGCTCTCCTTTGCAGGTCCGCGTGCGCCCATCGAGGAGGAAATGGAGCGCGCTGCCATCCAGAAGCATCTGTGAGTCGACTGCTAGCTTGATTGGCTGGTCTGCTTAATTGCCGGTTCACTGGCGTCGCGGTTACAACTGCGTCGATAGTTATTACGCAGCCCGCTGCGTGATAAGCTATCCTTTATAATAAAAGATTAACAGGGGGCGTGACCAGTGTGTCTGTCAAATCCCCCAGAATCGCAGAGTGGATCAATATTCAACATTTACGGATCATTCGATAGCGCTGATTTCGTAGATGAGCCCGCAACTTTCGGATTTCAAAAAACAAACATCGTTTGAGAGAAAACTGTAAAAAACCCTACCATACAAAGTCCACGGAACCCCAACACAACCAATCAGCGAAGACTTAAAGTAACTGCCTTGCTGCAGAGCTTGCGCGGGTTATATCGTGAAACAAAATTCGAAAAATTTTGTTTGTTTTGATGTATTTGGTCTAGAGCCCCAAACAGTAACAAATTTTTGTACGGCTACGTACGGTTTTCGCTTACGGCACCTACGGCTACGGTACGGTTACGGCAGAAATAACGGGATTGACCGTACGGTATACCGTATACGGCAGTACCGTATACGGCAAGCCCATTGTGAAACCGTGTTTTTGGCTTACGGTTACGTACGGCACTTCCGTTACAGTACCAATTTTCACTACGGTTACGTACTGTTGTGCCGTACAGTATGCCGTATACGGCAGTACAGTATACTGTTTGGGGGCTCTAATTTGGTCTGCAATGGCTTTAAGAAACATTATATTAACAGCGGTGGGTTTAAGGATAATAAAAATTTAGGCACAAGAAAGATTTAAGTTATTTTGACAACCGAACGCACAAACGACCCAGGGAACTTAGGGAAGTGTCCCAAGTGAGAGCTGCATGCGTCGTGAATCTTGCTGGCAGCCTGGCAGTACCAATTATCAAGTAGCTGCGGGATGACGGTGGCTGCTTGATACTTAGGTAAAAGGCAGTGTTTTGCGGTAGTTTTAACTTAATCATTTCTCTGTTGACACTGTTTCTTTAGTTTCGTATTAATAGAAGCTTTAATAAAAGCTTTAATAGAAGCTTTCGTATTAATATTATACCGATGAAAGACGGTATTTTTAAAATTAGTAATGAAAAACTGATATTTACAGAAGGCGAAACGGAGCTGCTGCGCGAGCGGAGCTCGCTAAGCAGGAGGAGCAGCAATTAAGTGAGACATCGTTTGGCAGTTTTTTTCTTACAGTTTATCAGCCAGCTCTGCAAGACTGCAACAATTGAACCTTTTATAGTTAGTTAAGTATTAAGTAGTTAGTTGGTGTGGGATTGCCACTTGCCGCTGGAAAAAAATCACTTACCGTAATTATCGAATTTGCACCCTGGGGTGCAAAAGTTCAAACGTCCTGGAGTAGGGGGTCTTATTTCGGGGAGGAGGCGTTATTTCTGGGGGTGGTACTATTTTTCAAACAGTATTTTTCAGAAGGGGACGTTTATTTTTCAAACAACTGCGCATTCTGTTCCATTGAAATTGAACGCAGTAGATACCGGTGTCTGCAGTTTCAGAACCTTACGAGCAGCATTCTGAAGCATAGCACCAAATTATTTTTGTGACCGTTTACTGTTTATTAATTACATCATAGCAGTTATTACGAAGCAATTGGCCTTATATCTATCATTTCGTGGCGCTTAACATTTAATAACACCCCCATGGGAGGCAAATTCGGGAGGAACTATTTTTCAAACGGGTTATGGGAGGGGGCTTACTTATTACGGAGAGTGCCTTATTATGCGGGGAGGTGCAAATTCGATAATTACGGTAATTCGGTAATAACTTAGTTTTTGTCAGCGAAGTTAACTGTATTAGCAAATGCGGTAATTTTTATTTTAACTGCATTTATCATCAGGCAGCAGTCGATTTCATCTGCGCACTTTGCGCGGTGTCAGCCATACTACCGTAGAAGTATAGGTAATTTTACCAGTACACTTGCAAGTTGCAACACATAATCGAATTTAAAATATAGAATTTGTAATTATGATCCGTATTCTTCCTATTAGTACAGTATCTCAATCATAATTTGAGTCTTAGCAGCCTGTATATAACGTAAATTATTTGTAGCTGATTTGTTCCGCGCAGTTTGCGCGGGGTCTACTAGTATATCGATATTGCCCGATAAACTACGGTACTGATCGATAATCCCCGTTTAATAACACACTCACCGGGGAATCAAATATAACGTTCGCCTTCGGCGCAAATACTCCCTGTACAATGTACAATATAGGGACTTCAAATAGCGCTCATAATCAGCGTGATCTGTGCGTTCATTAAAATTATCTGCAAATAAACTGTATATATGTGTTTAGCGTTTATGTGTACGTATATGTGCTGTATATTTGTTTACTGTTTATGTAAATAATAGAAATGTATAACGCATATATATATGATAATATGCGTATATTTATATGCTTATTCATATTAATATATGCAATTATATAATTATTTTATAAATATATAATCAGCTATTGATAATCTTGTCATTTTGCTTTCCGGTGCCCAGGATTGAATCAGAGTAAGTGGGAAATTTGTTTTGGTGATTTCTCGAAGCATGATTGCAGCCGCATTTGTGGACAGGCTGAATCTGCAATCGGCGCGAGAGCGCGGCCATCAAAATGCCGGCAGCACTGCCAGTCTGCCGGTCTTCGGGCGGCCACGCACCAGCCGCTCGGCGTCGCTGGCCGGCATCGGCGGGCTACCCAGCGGCAACATTTTCAGCACGCTGTACCGCGGCGGCGCCGCATCCGGCAGCGCTGCATCGGCTACCTGTCTCTACCTGATGGCCGGCGACGAGGAGCAGGCACCACCGCCTCCAGGTGCGCCCTCCCAACCGCCCCGTCGGTCCGGTTCGCGACGCGGCCGGCTGCATTCCGCGACCGACCAGTTGGAGCCGGAATTCGGGGCCGGCGAGGCGGAATGGCAGGCGGAGCCGTCCAGTTCCGGGGAGCCGGCCGTGTTCGTGGGGGCCGTGTCCAAGTCGCACTCGGGCTCCGTCGGGATGAGCCGCACGGGCACCGCCCACTCCCATCTGACGGCGGACGGCGAAACTCGGACGCCGAATTTGGAGCCGGAGTTCCAGCGCGTCACCGTTATGCATCCAGCGGTGGACGGGCGCTTGACCGCCGATGAGGTCAGTACTTCCGGTTGATGTCTAGTCGATGCCTGTTTTAATTAGGTGTGTGCAGGCATCGATCTCGGAGGACCTGCACCGGTCGGCGCATCTCCTGGTGGAGGCCATCGCCTGCCGCTACCACTACATGCAGCAGTCGCACCAGTCTTTCTACCCCACCACCGAGCGCTTTCTCAAGGGCCTGCAGAGTAATCAACGCGTGGCGCGGCGGCTGGCCCGTCCAAGTGCTGCCGCTGCCTCCTACCAGCGCCGGCAGTCCGCGTTTGGTAGGCGCATCAGAAACAGCGAGATTGCCCGGTGTACTAACTTCTGGTGCGTTGCTTTGACAGAGCGCCACAACGCCGAGGGAGCGGGAACGGCGAGCGGCAGTCCCCGCAGCGAGAAGGACCCCTTCAGCTGCCCGCTCCTGTCCCCCGCCGGCTGCCACGTCCACTTTCACGAAGGCGTCTTTCAGGTGCGCTGTCCGCCGGACGCGCCCGTTCTCGGCCGGCGGCCCAGTCAGGACTCCACAGAGGCCGAGGGCATCACGCTGTCTCTCAGCGGTCCGTCCTTCGATGAAGCAGACGGAGAGGGGCGGGCGACCGGCGACACCCCGCTGGTGCAGGTGGAGCGCAACCAGTTCCTGCGCGACTTCACCGCGCTCTACCGCATGATCATCGACGGTCCGCTGTAAGTGTATATAACAACATTACATATATATAGAGTATGAAGTAAACGTCATGGTTTACGCAGGAAGTCATTCTGCTTCCGGCAGCTGAACTACCTGCAGAACAAGTTCCATCTGCACTGCAATCTGAACGAGAACCGCGAGATGGCCGCGCAGAAGAGCATCCCGCACCGCGACTTCTACAACATCCGCAAGGTACGTCTCAAAGGTCACTGTTTAACGGCTGACCAACAGCGGCACTGTGACAGGTGGACACGCACATCCACGCGGCTTCGTGCATGAACCAGAAGCACCTGCTGCGCTTCATCAAGAAGACGATGAAGACCAGCCCGCTGGACGCCGTCTGCCTGGACCCGGCCACCGGCCGGCCGCTGACCCTGGCCGAGGTGTTCGCGCGCATGCAGCTGACCACCTACGACCTCACCGTGGACATGCTGGACGTGCACGCCGACCGCAACGCCTTCCACCGCTTCGACAAGTTCAACGCCAAGTACAACCCCATCGGGCAGAGCATCCTGCGCGACATCTTCATCCGCACCGACAACTACATCCACGGCAAGTACTTCGCGCAGATATTGAAGGTAAGGCCGCCGTGACCTATAGGGAGGTGGTCGGTTATAGTGGGGGCGGTTGCAGGAGGTGATGGCGGATCTGGAGGAGAGCAAGTACCAGAACGCCGAGCTGCGGCTGTCCATCTACGGGATCAACATGGAGGAATGGGACCGGCTGGCCGAGTGGGCGGTTAGCAACCGCGTCCACTCCGAGAATGTCCGCTGGCTCATTCAGATCCCGCGTTTGTAGTACGTTCACTCCGACCGGCTTTTGTATAATTGTACTGTTTCTATGTTGGACGTTGCAGTGACGTGTACAAAGCCAGCGGCCTGGTCAGCAACTTTCAGGAGATGCTGCGCAACATCTTCCAGCCGCTCTTCGAGGTCACCGAGAATCCCGCCAGCCATCCGAACTTGCACCAGTTCCTGCAATACGTGCGTGCCGATGCATTTAATTACATCCGTCCATGACGTAGGTTGATGTTTAATTGACAGGTGGTGGGCTTCGATTCAGTAGACGACGAGTCGAAGCCGGAGCACAGTCCCTTCCACCTGGCCTCACCGCTGCCCGCCCAGTGGGACGGCAGCGAGAACCCGCCCTACGCCTACTACCTCTTCTACATGCACGCCAACCTGGCCTCCCTCAACGCCTTCCGCGCCTTGAGAGGCCTCGACACCTTCGCACTGCGTCCCCACAGCGGCGAGGCCGGGCCTGTCCAGCACCTCTTGGCCGGGTTCCTTCTGACTGAGAGCATTTCCCATGGTTTATTACTGAGAAAGGTCAGTACCGCGAATAACTAGTCTTGCAGACTTGCTGCTTTACATTCGAAATATTATCAGTAAACACGTATACTACACGCTTTTCATATGTGTTCGTTAAAGGTCAAGGGTCCATATGTAGGGTCAGTGGTGCATGATCATATGTGTACGTGTGAGATGACGGTATCAGCTGTTATTTGTAGTTATTAAATAGCGTGAACACTGCAGGTGCCGGTGCTGCAGTACCTGTACTACCTGACGCAGATCGGGATCGCCATGAGTCCGCTGAGCAACAACTCGCTCTTCCTCAGCTACCACCGCAACCCCCTCCCCGACTACCTGGCGCGCGGCCTCAACATCTCCCTCTCCACCGACGACCCGCTCCAGTTCCACTTCACCAAGGTCCGCTAACAAACTGCTTATTTCAGTCTCCGCTATAGCCATTAATATGTTTGCTGTATAAACGGAAAGGTCACTTAGATAAACGTTTATATGATGTTTAGGAGGCGTTGATGGAGGAGTACAGCATCGCGGCGCCCATCTGGAAATTGAGTTCGACGGACCTGTGCGAGCTGGCCAAGAACTCGGTGCTGCAGAGCGGCTTCTCCACGGCGGTGAAGCAGAGCTGGCTGGGCGCCGACTACCTGGAGGAGGGCGTCAACGGCAACGACATCTCCCGCACCAACGTCCCCGACATCCGCGTCGCTTTTAGATACGAGACGCTCTTCGACGAGCTGCGCACCCTCTTCGACACCGTCATGGACCACCACCACCCGCCCGCCAACGGGGGGCCGGCCGCCGAGCGGAAGCCGGTCAAGACGGCCGGCGACGCCCTCACGCACACGCAGACGCACGTACAGGGCACCGCAGGCGGGCGCCGACGCGACAAAGAGACGCCGATTCTGGCGAAACATTTTCCGCTGGTTTAGTTTCGTTCCCGGTGTTTTTGCGATGATAAAAACAGAAATTGTGCTTATAGCTTATTTAAAGCGATAAAATTGCTAATTTTGTTTATGTGCCAAATTTTATTCACACTGTTGCCACAGAACGATTTATTTACAATAAAAATAAAATGTACAGACTGTTAAGGCAAGAAGCTGCTACTTTTTTGTGGGGTAAGGATAGCATAAGGAAGTGACTTCCGTGGCAGAGACGAAGTATCGCGCGGTGCAGGCACCGCAGCTGTCTTCCAGGCAGCGCGCCGCCGGATATCCGGGACAACCGGACCCGTAGCGGCCGCAGGGCGGGAAATTGCAGACGATACGAAAAGCCCGTCCATCCGGGCACAACCGCGCCACCACCGCCGCCGGGATGGACAGACTCCCGGCGTCCGGTTGGCTGCGCGGTGGAAAACACACGGAAGTGACGTCCGTGGAGCCCAGCAAGAACTTGACCCGGCAGACGCCCGCCGTAGGGTTGACGGAACTGCTGCCGCAGGGATCCGAACTGCAGACGGCCGCCGGGAACTGGGGGCACACGGACGGGACGTCCAGGCCGCGGCACACCGTGTCGTAGTTGCAGAGGTTGGCCGGGGCCGGAAGGAGCGCCCGGCCAGTGCTGACACGGCAGCCGGTGTCTGACGCGGGATTAGCCAGCCCGACGGTGTTGCCGGGGGCCGGAAGGGGGTTGGAGTTGTAGGGAACGGGTAGCTGGTCAGCCAATGTACCACTTAATGGGCTTCCAGCGTTTCTCCAGGTAGGTGTTTGGGGGTTGGTGATCCCGCAGGATTGGGACACGTCCACGCCGTTCTGGTAGAACTGCGCGCGGCAGTCGCCACAGTGGAAGTTGACGCATTCCGCTGCCGGGTATTGCGGACAGCGGAAGACTTGGCAGGGTGTCTGCCGGTTGGGCATGCACGTCTTCTCCGTTATCTGTAGAGAAAACAGTAATACACTGAAGAAAACATGGGCTGATTAAATATACCGGTACGCCGGGAGGACAGACGTCGACCGCGGACCAGTAGCTCCGGGAGATGGAGAAGGCCGACACCGGCGTCACCGACGGATCGGCGCTGGGCCACGCCCCGTAGCTCAGGACCGGCAGCGGGCCGAAGCACTGCACGGTGACCTCCGTGAAGGCGTTAGGCGACGCCCAGTACAGTTGCGCCGCCGAGGCCTGTCCTGCCAACTGTGGCCATTGTCCGCGGGGAATGTAGAAGCGGGCGGTGCAGCCACCACACATGTCGTCAATGCACACGGCCGTCGGGTAGTTGGGACACAGGCCGCTGCTGCCGGTGGACGAGCAGGGCGCCACGCTGCAGCCCACGAAGGGCCGGTCCACCGGGCACGCTCGGGAGGCGCCGCTTCCGCTGGCTGTCGATGCGTACAGCTGGAAGGGGTAGGTGGGCAGCTGGCTGCCGGTGGCCGGCGGGATGTAGAGGAGCACTTGGCCGGCCTGGCCCAGCGCCGTCACCACGATGGGCAGCAGCAGGTTGATGGTGGCCATCGCCGGCCCCGAACCGTTGCCGGCCTCCCACGCCGGCATTGAATGTCGATGCAGTAGTGCTTCCGATTGATTGCAGCCCGGCTGCGATCTGGCGCGCGGAAGCGTTGCGGCCGGGATTAGCGAATTAGCCCTGCTGTGTAAATGAGAAGGGGGATGGTGTAGTGGATTAGAGAACAAGCTAACTTATCACATTACACGTGATTATGTGCAGCGGTTTACATGTAATAAAAATGTGATAATCAAGCGGGTTGCATGTAATTGAAGCGAGCAGTCCTCAAAAACGTCTGCATGGCTGGCACTTTCTGTTGAGCTGCACTCTGACGCCGGTACGGTAACCGGCATGTCTTTGCATACCTCCGGCATGCATCATCGCCGGTGCAGTGAAAGGCGCTGTCTTGCGTTAGCGCAGTGAAAGCGCTTTGTCGCCTAAAGGTTTGCTTGACACGCCGCGCATATCTACACCGATATGCAGCGTCGCAGGCAGCCAGCCTGGAGAAGCTTATGGGACGGTATTGAATGTTTATGCAGGTGTGCGTGGCCAGCGGTTGGCATGATTGGGAAAACATCTGCGGAACGACAAAAACGCGGCCACACCGGCTGATTTCCGGTGATTTGACAACGAAAAAACATACCGGCTTTGGTGCTATTATTAGACGAGTGAGTTACTCTATCGAGGCAACCGGTATTTTGTACTGATAGTATTGTGATAGAACAGTATACGACGATGTATTGAAACCGGAAATAGCTGCTGGACAAATACATAGCGCAGCGTGCTACAGAATACAGTCATCGCAAGCGACATTGCTGATTGTTAAGCGCAGCGCGCAACAATAACAAGGAAGTAATTCCTTCCCGACCGGAGCGAGACGGCCTGCTGTTGTGTCGGGTGGCGATGTAGTCAGCCATGTGCTCGCACGTGTCACCACAAATCCGCTACATTGTGCGGTACAGCTTGCTAGTGTACAGCCGTTAGCAGTGAAAAAGGTCAACAAGCCCCGCTGCCAGGAATACAACGCGTGCACAAAGACAAGCTTTAAGGGGGTGACCTTTGCAGCAAGAGCCACATTGGGCATAATAAACCTTGACTTTAGCTGCTATTTGCAAAACGTTAACAGCGCTGTGCAAGGCAGAGGCGCAATTAAGGCAAACAACGCGTGCCGTTAGAGGTGCGTGCGGGGAATCATCAGCTGACCGGCCTCGAGGTCCTCGCTGCCCGATGAGTCTCCCGACTCCAGAAGTGCGGCTGTGTTGGCAGCTGCTTCCGCCTGGCACACACTGCAGCCGTGCCCTGGCTGTTGGCGCTGTCTCAATCCGCATAGACCGTTTCGCCCGCTTCCCTCCAACTTCCGGTCACCGGTTAATGTTGCAGTGGGCTGTATCTTCGGACGCCCGTAAAGCGGGCTTATCTACATGCATGTAGTACAGTCATTTCGCTGCATCGCAACTTAAAAGACGCAAAAATGTCTAACCTGCAGCGCACACGCTTCCGCTGTTGGCCGGAACACCGCCGTCCGGGCTGAGCCGGCACCTGGCCGACATGCAGCCATGCGCAAGTCCACCTCCACTTCGCTGTCGCTCTGTTGGTCCACAAAGCCGCCGCTGGCCAGTGAGTAGTGCTGTTTTCGAGGGAACCGGCGCTTCGGGGTTTCCACGCTGGTCGGCCTCCACGTGCTCCTCCCAGTCCCGTCGCCGAGAGGGAGGTACTGCGTTATTCGATGCATACGTCGGCGACGTTTCGTGCCATAGGTGACTAAACATAACACTGGACTCCCATATGCTCCGAAAAACTCTGGACTCCAGAGTCTGGAGTTTCACTTAACTTACGTGTGGAGTCAGACAGCGAACCGCAAAGGTCATCCTCGGCCGCGCGGACGTTGTCGGACGAATCGACCAGCGCGTCGACCAGGTGTCCCCAGTCCACGTCACCGCCGTCGCCGGTGGCGGAGGTCCCGGTGCCGTAGTCGGCGGGGCGGTCGCGGTCTCGGTAGGCGCGTCCGTAGACAAACTCGCCCTCCGATCGGACCCGGCCCGGACTGAAGGTGGTGGGCGTGGTGCTGGTGCTGCTGATAACAGTGCGCGATGGACTGCTGCTCGGGCTGTCGCTCCGATACACAGTGACCTTTCCTACCGCACGCTGGGATGCTGTCGGTCGGCATGATTGATCCCGGTAACGACGGCTTTTCCGTCGGGTCTTTCGCGGACTGGACGGGTATCGGCCGGTGGGTCTCCTCCTGGACCGGTGCCGATCTTTGCGTTTTCGGAATTGTTGTTGAGCCGGACGACATTTGTGACTGGGTGTATCGTCGGTGTCACTGGTGTCGGGCTTCGCCGAGGCCTGTTTGAGGTCGGTGCAGGATGTATTGGTTCCGGCGTCGGCCAGCTCGTTGACTACAGCGGCGAGCGGGTGCACTGCTGGCAGCGGGCAAACGTCATCCGCAACTGGCAATTCACAAACATCGCCGGGATCGACATCCGCTGGGGGCGGATTGGCGTTCTCCAGTGGGCAGGTCTCCCCTTCGGCGTTTTCATCTGAAAGAAAGAATGAGAATGGTTGTTCGACTGCCAGCTGACTGACTTTCTTACCCGGCAGCCGGTTGCGGAGATCGCCGGCGTACGTAGTATTTGCCGGTACATTTAAGGATGTGTTGGAAAAGAACGTTGTGGAGGAGGGAAAATAGCTGATGGCCGAATCGTTGGAGGAGTGCAGTGTGAACTGCGAGGCGTTGGGTGCCGGCCAGACGGATGGTTGTTCGGCCAACACCGACGCACCTGTGGATGCGTTCAACAAACCGGAAGTCGTAGTTTTATATCGAAGTAAACGAAGAACATACCTGATGCTCCTGTAATTGGGTAGTTGATCGAAGCCGACGCCGATGCCGCGCCATACAAAGTAGGCTGGGAATGCAACGACCGGAAGTGGGTGGAGTGGTGTGATTGGGACAAGTCCATGTGCGGGTGGTAATTGGGAGAGAGCAGCTGCGAGTGATCGTCGTAGACCTGTCTGTGATGGTCAGCAGTATGTGACGGATGGACACCGGTCGGGTTGGCGAGGGACGCGGAAGCGCCCACGTCGGGCCGCAGATAGGAGCCGGTTGACGTTGAATGCAGCGGATCCCCGCTGACCGCCCCGCCCACTGTAACTGCTGAGCAGGACGCCACCGGAAGTGGGCGATTGGGCGGTGCCTGCTGATTTCGGCTGTGGGTAGAGAAGTTGGAACGGGTCGGGCAGATATGGGCACTGCGGGCGTCGGCTAGAGTGACGGCGCTAGCTTGTTGGCGCTCCTGTGCCTGCTGACTGGCCACTTCCACCAACAGCCGCTTCACCTCACTCCTAAAACAAGCAACCAGGCTGTTGATCTTGGGCTTTTCTTTCCGTTAATTGACTTACCTTCGCTGCATGCACTGGCAGGAAGCAGCACCGGCCACCTGACTGCTTGCCTCCGACGCCGACTGCCACTGGACCGATTTGGACTGTTTGGCCACGGAGCATGTCGAGTGGCTGAACGGTCCAACGGTTCCAGTACGGGCGACGTTCGCGCTGGACGGAACGTTTACCGACAGTTCCGGCTCCGTGCTAGTGCACCCCGATTTAACTGCGACCAACTGGCTGTGCGACGTCCCGCAGGAGCGAGCGTCCTTCGGCTGGTTGCAGGGAAGAGGCGCTGCACTGGTTCCGGCGTTGACGTTTGTGGGAACGTGCGTTGGGTCGGTGCCGGTGCACGCCGATTTAGCGGTGGTCAGCGAAGAGTGCGTTGTTCCGCAAGAGCGCGTGTCTTTTGGCGGAGGGCACGGAAGAGGCGCCGCACTGGTGCCCACGTGCATCCGGTCGAGGGTCTGCTCTGAGTGGAATTTATGGGGCTGCGTAAAGGCCGACAGGGTGGCGGTGAGCGCCTGCGCTGATTTGGAGTGTGCCAATTGGCAAGCGGAGCGCCCGGCGGCTGCATCCGTGGTGTTATGTAGCCGATCGGCGCTCTGCGAGCGGGACACGGTGTGTTGCGCCGTTTGACAGGCTTGCGATCGGCATGCGTTCAGCTCGGCGCCTCCGGTGTGCGTGGCGCTGGTGCAGACCGCGGCGCTCTTCGTCGCCGGCACGGCAAAGCGAGGCGTGGAGGTGCAGACGGAGACGGGCAGTCCGGCAGCACCTGGAAGTGGGTGCTGGCTGCACTGGACGCCGGTGTCGGCGCGGTGACACAGCGCCGACGTGGACACCTGGGCCGAGCACTGGCTGGGCGCGGCGTGGGCCCCACAGGAGGCGTGTGCCGCCGGCTGCGTCTGATTGTGGGCCGACGCCAGGGAAAGGTGGGTAGGCGAGCAGGCCGCGTTGACCGTCAGTGTCTGCGGGGCTCGTAGCGGCACTGCGGCGCCGCACTGCATCTGGGCGGTGTGCGGGTCCAGGTCGCCCGCGTCCGGCCTGTGCATGGCGGCGGTGGGCACGGGTGGAAGTGGAGCGGTGAGGCACTCGTCACTGGCAACGGCGGTTTCCGACGAACTGATCTCCACCACGCGGCAGCTGCAGCGGGCTGTTTCCTTCCCCTCCAAAAAGAAGCGTTCATCTAGAAAGAAAAAGGCTGTTTTACTGGCTCGACGTGGATACACGTTGTCGGGCACTCACTCACAGTGGTTGCGCAAGTGTCCCGCATGAGGCACTTGGCCATCTTCATGGACTGCTGCTGACGCCGGTGTGCCGTGAAGACGGCAGGCGGCGCGCCTATCCGCGGATACGGATCCCCGAGGCGGGTAGCCATTTGGCTACTGGCCAGGCTGTCGTCGGGACCTCCCGGGGATAGGGAGCGTGGGCAGTCGGGACGGCAGGTGCAGACCGGAAGAGGGCTGCAGCGGCTGGAGCGACTGGTGAGGGTGGCCGGGGGACGGTTAAGGGTTGGACGGCGAGCCGACAGCGTCCGCCCACGGGGAGACGGACGCTGGCGTATTGCAGCGACGGCGGGGCCAGGGTGCCGGTGTCCGCGCGGTCGGGAGAGGGTGACTGCGCGGCGGCTCTGCTCCACGGTGTGCACGTGGGTCCAACGCTGCTGGCCGGTCGCCCGCAGCGCCGGTGGCTGGTCTGGCTCCCTCCGCGGCGCCGGATGCTCCGCAAATGCGTCGGCGTTGAGGCGCAGCTGCGGGCTTTCGCGGGTCAGACGCTGCAACTCCTTCAGTTTACGCGAGATCTCCTCCAGTCGGCGCAACGGGTCCATGCCGGCTGGGCGTCGGACAGGCGGCCTGCAAGGGAACGGGAAACGCCGGTCGAGATTCTGGTTATGGGATAAGCGCATCGTGATTTGTATTACGGTATAAGCTGATAGTAGCTAGATAGAATTAATGCCAAGGCTGCTACACAGCATTTTGCAAAAATTATATTCGTTGCAGCACGAGCGCGCTGTCGACTGCAGCGGGAAGAAGGGGTTAAATTTTCACATTTCAGTGCTGGAAGTGCAGTGTGTCAGCAGACGCTGCGCTGGCACGCATCGTGCGGGTGCATCGACATTCAACAGTAGGAGTTTGTGTAAATCTGCAGCCTGCAGGTGACTGCGGCTGAGAGAACATGCACTGGTTGTGAGCAGCATCGATACTTCGCTATCGATCCCTCTTTTTCACTTTACCAAGCGATGAATCAGGAATGGGACGAGTGCAACGATTAGGATGCGGCAGCGGATCGCAGGACAATTAAGAGCATTACTCACGGCGGATCGATATCAATCGGCAGGTTAAGTCTGCAGTGGCGACAGTGGTTAGCGATGCGTCAGAGCTTTCCCTTTCGATGCGTTCCACTTTGCTTCCCGGCTGAGATCACCAGGCTCCCCATGTCCGTCCGCACGGTGCTGCCAACCAGCCAGCGCGTCCCAGCAGCCAGGCATCGGTCCCCGTCCCGCCCAGTGAATGCAGTTGCAGAGGGCCACGGCACTGCATGGCCAGCGTATGACCTTTCCCAGCAGTACAATAATTGTACTGCTAATGAGAAACGAACAGTTCGGCACGGTCCAGTGCGCGTTGTATAATGTATTCAATTTAATTTCTGTTATATTTCTTCTATCAAATGAGCTACATAAGCACTTAATGATGCTTTAATATCAAAACCAGCGAATACTATGTATGTACTTCAACATTAAGTAATTGCTCTCAATGCTAATACCGTCCAGGTGTACGCTGATAGTAGTGAAACTTTTATAATTATTAATAACTTAATAATTATAATTATTAATAACTTAATAATTATATTTATTAATAACTTTTATAATTATTAATCGTGAAACTTTTATAATTATTATAATTGTGTATTATTTTACTACTGTGTTACTTATACCTTTCCTCCTCTCTTAACGCGCTGTGGCGTGTTCGTGGGATGTGCAAAATTAATACAACTACAGTAACACTTCCAGTACAGACTACACACACGCTAAATTATGGTACGGTTATCTTTCCTTAAAAGGTCACGTATCTATTCAATAAATACCAGTACATATCTGCTTTTATCTGCCTCACGTGCATAACTTTAAATTTAGTTGCGAACTTTAAATTACTTTGCAATGGTACCTACGACTTGCCAAGCTGAAGCGGATACTCGCACCGAACATCTAATAAGCAGTAATGTGTGTGTTCTCTGCAGCATCCATGGCAACTTGCTCATTTCTTCCGACGGCCGGATTACAGTACTTCTGTCATTCGATTACTTACTTAATTAGGTTCTACTAACAGTTGCAGGTACAAAGCGGCATAGGCGTTATCTGTCCTATGAAAGCTGGACATGTGGATTTAACTGTATGTTTTATTCCCGTGGGCTCAGTGGGTGCCACCGTGCCAGTATGTGTACAGACGCCAGGGAAGGCGACACAGGGACAAAAGCTCAGAAGCAATAAGCGCATTACACAATAATGCGATCCGACGATCGGTGTGGTGATTTGGGCGCCGGGAGCGGGTGAAGTCCGACAACTCTGGCGTAGTGCTACGTATCTGTTACGTATACAGGTATGCTTATCCAGGGCGAGGTTGACTCCCGCGCCATTACACACAAGACGATCGAGGTTGATTCCGGGGCAGCAGCGCTCAATACCGGTCACGAGATGAATCAGCTGCGCCTCCCGGAAATTACCCTAACGGCTTTCATTTAATTTGCGCACTAATCCCTACCGGTAGATAAATTACGCAGATCCTGTGGCATTAAGTTAGCGGGCAAATAACGGCGCAGCGATCAGCTTCGCCAAAATTGTTTATACTTGTTTGTTAGTAACGGATTATTATTAATCGATATTTTTGAGGAGCACGTGTCCACCTTTCTAAACTGAGTTAGAGGCCAGAACTAATCTGAGAAAAAGGTGGCTCTTGACCTTTTATTGCAGTTATGCAGCTGTCCAACAAACACGCAAACCCGACAAATTAATTGGCTGAAGCTAACAGTAAGAAGCAAGCAAACAGAGTCGCGGATAATGTACTGTACACGGGATGCAGCGCGTAACAAGAGATATGTATCATCTAGTAAACAGTGTCAACAAGAATACAAATGCCAACAGAAACGTAGATTCGCCAAATTAATAAACTAATTAATCCAGTCTAATTAATCTGCACCGGTAGTGGACATTTCACCATTAGGCGCGAATAAAACCAGGCTCATCCAGACAGACAGGCTAGATGTACAGCAGCACGCGTTACGGAACGGAAGTGGTAGACAGTGGGAGGGATGGCAGAAGAAAGGTTACTCCACACGACGGGCTCAGCCCAATCAAATCTATCTGACGAGGCCTAGGCAGGGGAGGGCCAGTGTGAGCAGTGCCAAAACCGTGGCCAGATATCCGTGCTGGTGCGTGCCGCTGGCGGCGCCCCAGTAGCCACGCCCGTAGCCGTAGCCGTAGCTGGACTGCGGGCCGTACATGTTGCCGGCGGAGGCCTGTCCGTACATGCCGTACTGCGAGCCGTACGGCTGCTGCCCGTACCCGCCCGCCCCGCCGCCCGCGCCGTAACTGCCGCCCATGGGGCTGTAGCCGCCGCCCGCGCCGGCGCCGTAGCCGCCCTGGCCGTAGCTGCCCGGCTGCCCGTAGAAGCCGCCGCCGTACCCGTACTGGTTCCCGTATCCGTATTGGTTGTACTGACCTGCAAATCACAAATTTACAATCAGCACTATTTAATTAACAGGACACTAAATGGACAGACAGTTCTCTTAGCGTAACGTTTCCCGTGATTTTTGTGCACGGTAATTTAGCTTGGTAAATTCAGCGCATGTACGCAGCACCGCGGGATCCTCGTGACACAACCAACACCCCGACGATGTTTGCATAAATCTGAGACACTTAGAAAACACTCATAACGCCACCAAGCAGCCACTTATATTTGGCCGCATTTACGATTTACTTTTGCTGATTACTCCAAAATATTTCCCCAACACTATCCGGCGTAATAAGCGTGCAGATCGCTACAGTAAGCATATTTATTTTTTTCTTTTTGTTTCACAACAAATCGTTCTTCGATGCATTAGAAGCCGGTGACAACGATTAGAATTTTTTGGTAAACCATTTTTTCCCTCAAGATTTTCTGCTCTGAACGAAATGGGGTAGTTGCCGGCATTTTGAACTACAGATTAATTTTGAAACGGGATAGGTAATACAGGTAGAATAGTGTATCATTTCAAAACCGCACGAAATATTAATGCAGCTACAGACAGATACTACAATAATCATTTACGTAGGAGACCCGCGAATTGCAGTACTTTATTGCACAGAAGTGTATAGAGTGCGCGCTGCGCCGACTGGCGGAAGAGATGTAGAGCTGAAGGTCAGCCGTAACAGTGTTTGCTTAGCAGTCAATTAATAAAATAATGTGTAGCATGGTTTTCGTGCCTGGGAACAAAGCCAGCGCTGTGTAAGCAGTGCTGTTTGTTTTGCTGCGCTGACACGCGCCGGATCAGCTTATAGCGGCACAGGCCTAGGCCGGACTGCACTAACAATTAGCAGTACAACCGGATCAGGCGGGATCAGGCGGGTTCGGCCCCTCTTAATCAGTGCAACTGTACTCGTACTGTGTTCACACTGCTGGACAGGATGATATCTTCCTAAGATTAGCACCTAAGCTGGACACTGGCCCCTTTTTCACTGGTCAGCTGCATTGTCGGCGATCACTAATTTGCCGGCTTTGAAGAAAAATTAAGGACTGCAACAGGTATACACATAATCAAGTCCCCGACTAACGTATTATCAGAACGCTGCTCTTAACTGATTAAGATGCATAATACAGTCCATTTCGCTGGACAGATCGATGGTCGTCCCGTTTCCGGGCGGCCGTCTCTGGAGGCGGTCCGGAGGACAGAACCCGGACTCCCGACCGGACATATCTCAAACAGCCATAGGAAAAAAGCCTCACTACTATACCGCATTAGTGTGCAAAATATACGCTAGGCAGATGACTATGAACGTAAGAACTACGACATTGTACTATCCGTGGAGGACGTGCATTCACTGACCTAGTGCCGTCCACGCCAGTGACAGCCAGATGACGGCGCTAAGCAGCACACTCGACTCAACAATTCCCTGCATTTTTCCTTCTCCGCCACGAACGATAAAAATACGATAAAAGTGTGAGCTATAACGATGAAAATCGCTGGGTGCCGAAATGCAGTAGACTATAATCCCAACTGGAGGAATTTTCCCAAGGGAAGGCAACGTTATCAGTAACCGCTATCCGTGGTTATCAGTAGAAGTTCCCAACAACAGCAGGCAACAGGAATCCCAATCGCAGCCGATTACACCAACTTATTGTATGCCACAATGATCAGACGATGAAGAGGTGCACGTGAACTTCCGGTCAGATAGGAGTGAAATCAGTATCCGATCGGCAGGAGGCCGTTATAATCGTATAATCAAACGGTATGACGTATAAACGACGGAGGTGCGCTTAATCGTACATATCCACATTAAGCACGATTAATGTCCGATTCGATCCAGAGAAGAATAATGCGCTGCCAGGGGAGTTTATCTTCTTTTACGCCGTGGTCAGCGAGGAAGCCGTGGTGTGGATTACGTTATATTGTGCACCTGCAATCACACCGCAAACACATTAACCTGAACCCGCGGACTGGATCAGTTGTCTATCTCCCGTTGAAATTCCCGGGCGCACTGCATTACTGCTGGTTGAATTACTTAGCAGAACAGCATTGAATGGAGGCAGTCCTGCTGCATACATGTATATGCCGGGCATAGTGCATAGCCTCACTAGCCTATGGCAATATTTGCCGTTCATTCTCGCCCACTTTATAAGGCCAACCATAACAATGCGCACACATCGATCGACATGCTATGCAGTCGGCAGTATCTGTATCTGCACATGTACGTTAATAGACTGTAGGGATTACTAATCACAGGTAAATGTAAAAGCAGCGGATCCAACGCCAACAAACGCATAACGCAACTGCAGCTAAGCCCGCTGTTAATTGCCTGACTGCTCCTTAATGAGCAATCTTATCCGCTTCCGGGCGGAGCGGCTACAGTCTCCGGCAGTACCTTCTCAAGCGGAATTAAGTCAAGTGACTCCACAGTCTCATATAACGTCCGTAGTCGCCGGTATATGCATTGACTGCACTTTGCTGTCCCTTTTGTTCGCTAATATTAATTACGTTAACGCACAATAATTATTAGTGGCAGGGACTTCCGCTGCCAACGATTAGGATTAGGTGGCATATTACGTCCCTTGTTGCAACCGTAGTATGATTATCTGTATTGTACCTACCGCAGGCGGCTTATTAGCTAAGGGATTCCAATTCCAAACCAGACCATTAACAAACACCGCGCGCTGTTTGACCTTCAGCTGGCGCTAAGCAGTAATAACTAAGGGGAACGAGTCAGCTGCGTCCGGGAACAGCGACCACAATATTCCTCAACGAGAAAACTAGTAACCATTAAGAAAACCTGTAACGGCGAACTTGAATGGCAAGAACTTGAATATTAGCGTTGGACTGCACTGCGCCATCAAGGCTGCATCATGCATGCATTCTGCAGCGTGATGCCTGCACCGCCACCGTATCGTAATGGCTGTCACACGTACATTAATGCAGCTACTGTATAGAATATCAAAATGCATTACTCACCTAGAGTAGCAGGTACAGTACGAGCCGGTTTTAGTACAACGATGATGGTCGTCAGTGAGATCTATAGGTACTCGTACTTCCGACAGGTAGATACAGATCGATACGCATGAGCGGGGCTAAGTAATTGTTATTTGACATCAGTTGCGGCCGCTGCAGTGTAGAATATAGTGTATGGTAAGTACTCTCCTACAGGTCGGTCTTTAATGGGCAATAACGTTAAGTCTAATAACGGTTATAAGCGGTTGCCGGCAAACAAACAGAGCACGAATACTAGCACAGCGAATTGGATGAATTATACTAAAATATATAACTAGCGACTGCTTTGAATGCTGTGACTGGGTGATCATGAGCGTGAATAACAGTCCCACTCTAGCTTTGAAAATATGTAACAACATGAGCATGGCTCGATGCCAGCCAATGCAGTGCCCCGCAGCGTTGACGCTGAGCTTACCGTAATCATATTAACACATACAGGTACGGTACATACGCTGCTCAAAATAATGTGCACAGGTGCGCCATGCCGACGCTAATAATATGCACTTTAGGCAATGTAAAGTAAGTTAAAGTATGTAATATTATTTGCGGATAATATAGTATTAAGCGCCGGTACAGAAGTATGAGTACTTCTACAGCAAGTGTAAGTCCCAGTGCAGAATGAAAAACTGGTTTCCCCGGGAGATGGACGGTGCGGTATTTACGTGCAGCCACAGCGGCCGGTGTCAGTGACCACTCCGAGTTGTTTATAATTATTACGCTGGACACTGAAGAGTTCAAGCTTAAGCCCATACCAATGTACTCTGTCATAATCCGATATCTGGCTTTTCTTTTCGCTCACAAACACTGATTGTACCGGTGTACGCAGACCATACCTGGGACAGGTTTGGAGTAGACTGCGCACAGTTTCACTTGGATGATAAAATGATACAGTATTATTGTCTAGTGCAGTTGTGCTGGCGTACAAGTACAGTACATCGAAACAACTAGCCGCATAAAGCAGTCCCAAAGTACGGCTGTGTTTTCTCGGCATGGCATTTGCACCCGTATTAAATTATACTGTACTGTACATTTATACAGGTTTACACACCGTCCACCATTAGCTTGACCACAGCTTGCTGCGTTTTCCATGATTTCACACACGTAGTATACAGCTCGGGCAGGGCGGTATGGTACGGTGGAGCAGCATGTTGTTCACTTGTAACCGGTTTTTTCGTCTCATTGCACGAGTTGGTAAAAATATTTCCGACTGCGCTACTTCCTGCACCATACCAGATCTGTTACACATTCTAGCTCAAGGTTTCTAGCGCTACGCTGCGGCGTAGCGGTGTCGGCCTTGCCTTCGCCTGCCAGGTGCAAAACAGGTATTCAAACTCGGCCGCCGGCTCGTATATTTACGAAACGCAATTACTGCGCGGCGTAGTTTGCACTGTTTATTAAGGAATTTCGAGGCGGCTGAGGTTGTAGAGAACACTGCTGGTCATTTGCCATTAACACCGTTAGCCTGGCGTCGTTCACACGCACGTTGTAACTCCTGGGAAGCAGGTCGTTCTCTGCGAACGCCCGCATTGACGTCATCGGACGCTGTCCGCTCACGTGTGCATTACGCACAAGCGCTAAGGGAGAAGTTCTCCCGAATTCTTCATTGATTACAGTACATAAGTATCTGAAGCAATAACTAAACGAAAATTTGTCATCAAGTTGTGCAAATCATTGCAGTCTTTGTCAGTGTGAAATTGTAGGGGATCGGGAAGCTTCGTGGCTTCCGTAAGAAGAGACATCTACGAGTACGTATACTGGAGTGGCATAGCGATACTGGTACTGTCCACTACTGGCACGCTACATAAAGAAATATTTAAAAGACACTTAACGTTTTTGGCAATCTTGTTTCCGGTCTATATATATGCAGGTCATATAAGCGCATAGAACTATACCAATATATAGATATACTACATTCATATAGATATACTACCATTGCTCAAAATTGCCAATGGTCACTTCGGCTTACAGCCGTGATAAAAGTGTTGTGTCAGTAGATCTGAATGGGCATAAGCTTGAACCGGAAAAATCAGTTAAGCACTTGGGGGTGATAATTGATGAGCATTTGAAATGGACCGATCAAATTAAAAAGGTCCAAAAAAGTGCTTATCATGGAATTGCCCTCATAAACAGTGTAAAGAGCGGACTGCCGCTGCCCCAACGCGTTGGACTTTATCACGCATTCGTCCAGTCCCACCTGGACCATTGCTCCACTGTGTGGAGCGGTGCGCCTGTGTCCACGCTGGAGCCGCTGGCTGTCGCGCAAAGAAAAGCTATTCGAGCAATCGCCAACTATGCCGAAGTATCCGCCACCGACCTGATGAAGCAATTCGAGATTGTGCCACTGTTTGAGCGATGGAAAAACCAGCAAGTAACGTGGCTTTACGAAATTCTGCACCCGGACAAGTTCCAGGTGCCCCGCTACCTCAGTGAAATGATCGTCGTGAAGCAGGATGACAAACCGTACGGCCTCCGAAGCGGAAACCGGACCTTCATCGAAGGACAGGGAAGGACAAGGACGGGAAAGTCCACGTTGGCCTCGAGGCTGAACAGTATCATGAGCCAATTAAACCAAGCCGGAAATGATATCCTTAACAGCCCTTCTCTGTCTGTTTTTCGCAATGCGTTGAAATATGTTAAAATTGCTGGTTAACTTTCACTATTTTCACTTGTCAATGATGTAGGGCTACTGCCGTCTAAAATTTCTTATGTTAGCCAGGTTTAAATTCCCACGCTTGATGACGATCCTAGCTTTTAATGGGTTACCTGCCTACTTTGCAATAACCAATAAACGATATGCGGCGTGCGTACATGCAGTCATTTATACAATAATATTATAATAACATTACGAGTATTACGAAGTGTGCAGCTACTGCTACTCTGCGAGTATTATATATAAAGCGAGCCAGCAGCCATGCCGGCTGACCACGGCCAGTTGAGCAGGCCGGTGATGCTCCTGCTCATGCCCTTCACCATACACAAGCTGGTCAACGACCGCCAACACATCTGCACAGAACCGGCTAGCTACCTGTACACTGTGACGTCCAAATGGCACAATATTTGAAGCGTTCCTTTGCCCAAGTACGGTACCTACCGGCTGCCGGATCGGATACTATCGCTTTGCGACGGGTCTTGGCGTGCCCATAAGCATGGAAGAATTCTGCACTGCGGGCAAAAACGCCAGTCATGACATGTACATGGAGTTTATGGTTAAGAGACAAGGGAAGACATTGGCAGAGCTAGGTTGAAAGCTGGCTTGTATGGCTTGGGAGTCGCGGGATGGTGGATGCAGTGCAGTGCAGCCGGCATACCATCCGGGCTATATATGAACCCGATGCTGCGCGCACGTGGCGGGGTTATTGACACCAGCCGGCAACACTACGACTGGCTGGCTGCAGTCGCATAATGCTGTTGACTGAGGTGACCGGATGTAGGCCGCTGCAGGAAGTCATAGCTAGATGCGCTAGTGCAGGTGCGACGGCGAAACGGGATAGATAGATACAGCACCGGCACTGTCTCTCTCATCTAATCGATAATCGACAGCCAGGCTTGGTGCATACACTGCATGGGTATTGTACATGTACCGGCTGTGCGGGCTACCGGCACAACGTACTTAATATATAAATATATGCTGGCTTTATTAAGCTTGAATGTTATTATTGTTTCAGTCGACCAGATACATGCAATAACTGCTCTATACAATTCACCGTATTTGAATTCGTATCAATTACACACTGTACTGGAGCAGTACATCGTATTAATTCATATTTCTTCGTATAAAAGCATAATATTATTATCTCTCTAGATATGAGTACAATTTGCATGGAGACTTTGATGCTGCAGCTTCCAGGCGTTGCGTTTCGGCATTCTCCGCTTATTATCAAGTTTCTTTCTTTATGCACAATGATTCAGTCAACTGATTAATGAATAAAATAAACACCCGGGACATGTAACATTAATGATGTTACGTGAATAAAATAAAAACGGGATTTTCGCTACTTCGGCGCTTGTACAGACTAACACACCGCACACTTGTAGCAGACACTTGTAACTACGCAAGGTAAGTAGAACTGTCAAGGTTGTTTGCAGAGGAATTCAGTTGGAGCGAAAGCGATATGCATATCACGAGTGTATGCGCCTCTTTAGAAATGCCGTCGTCACCTTTCGACTAGTTAACCATGATAATTACGGCAGCACACACGACCTTTGCTGCTGATACGGATGATGGGAGCAGGTAGGCCTTTGGAGTTGGTTAAGAGAGGCAGTGGTCCCAAAAGGGGACATTACGTAGGTGTCATGCGTCTGGGCAGCGGACCCGGATGCGCATTAGGGATACCAGGGCTTGTAAGCGTAGGTGGAGACCAGCAGGTTCTGCAGCGCCCGATCCGCCGGGGTCCGTGAGTCCACCACCGGAGCACCGTAGCCGGCATAGCCTAGTCCGGCACCGGCAGCCGGTATTCCGGCCACGCTGCCGTAGAAGCCCGCGCGGCCGTAGCCGTACAAACCGCCGGGGTCGGCACCGTAGGCGCCGTACGGGAGTCCCAGGCCGGCCCCGCCGCCGTAGCCGACGGGGTAGTTGAGGTCGTTGACGCCCAGACTGCTGGATGGGAAACGGTCGTAGGCGTAGGAGGGCGACGCGATAGGCGCCCGGTCGAAGCCACCTATTCCGCCGGTGTAGGTGGCGCCTACGCCCAGTCCCGCCGCGCCCAGCCCGTAGCCGTACCCGGCGCCGCCCAGGCCGCCGTACGGGCTGGAGACGCTGGCGTAGTTGCCGTAGCCGCCGTAGGGCACCTGCTGTGAGCCATAAGGGTTCTTGTTGCCGGGGTTCTTCCAGTAGCCCAGAAACGGATTCCTAATGAAAAACGCCGGTTTCTTAGCATTCTGTACTGACAGAACACACGAGCATCGTACCCGAATGCGTAGTCGTAGTAGTCGGACATGGATCCCATCGGGCCCGCTCCCTGACCTGCGGACAACAAGCACCGGCTAAATATCCCGACAAAATGCATGCAGGTGTGCGAACGGCGTACTACCGGTTGAATAATCTGGTGCACTTACCAAAGGCAACGGGACAGCCGGCACTAGCTAGCAGGAAGAGGAGCAAGGCGGAAAAACACTGCCAGCTAGTAGTGGCGCTCCGAAAGTAGGATGGACGCCAGTGGCCAGCCGTCTGCATGTCGCGTTCGTGGTGCTCATCGCTGGGCAGGAATTCTTCCCGAACAGGTTTGGCTCTACAGCAGCCATCTACGGCGTTTCCGCTGCGTCTCCTTCTTTGGATATTCACAGGTGATTCCATTGCACTGGTTGTCGCTGCATCGGTTACAAACACGTGCACAGCCAGTCAAGTCAACACAGGCCGGATGTGGAACAGCAATCATAATAACCCTCTACTGTATCATCGCCAACGTTAACGCCGCGGCTGCTTGTGCAAACGCGGCGCCGTCACGAGCCACTGCCACTGGTTATCTTTACTGACTATCGCAGCGTGTACACAAACAAGCCGCAGAACAGAACAGAACGGAAAAACAGCTGCACGCCGGCTACTGTGACACTGTCGGCGTCGCTGCATATGCATTCATCGTAATGTATTTTCCATTCCCTACAATACGCTGGTCCAGCCAGGCGCTACTCGAATCATGTACTGTTTTTGAAATCACAGTCAGTGCAGCGTTGCAATGTGTGGTAACCTGGTTGCATCACCTTGAAAACGGTAGTGACCTTTGGAGTGCGCCCTCATTGTTCTGTAATGTGGAGCCTGGACGAGTAGGCACCAATCGGTGTATGCAATATTGCTACACACCGGCATCACTAGCTCGCAGTTTTACTCATAGAATTGTTACTTAATTATACACCTGTGCAGTGGTAGCAGCGATGTGGCATAAGTGTATATAGTACCTGTACGTACATTAGCAGCGCGTTAATTGGGCATCCATGTTAACGGCCATTGTTTTTGTGGACAAATATTTTAGGGCCATTCGGCTTATACAGCAGAAAATTTAGCGCGTGATGTGTTTAGCAGTGTTATCGATGGTTTACCATCAGATTCTATTCGTTTGTTTACGCCGATAAATCGGGGTGCAGCGCAAACTATGACAAAAATCTACGTACCGGCTCGTGACAATTTGCGAATTAGCTGCGACTGCAAGTAGTCCTGCCATTTACTTAATGACTGATTGTGCCAATCGAACACAATTTTAACAGTGTACTTAAACAATAAACTTTATTGACCTATGTGACATTCCTTATGGTAACACAAATTTTACGTTTTGCCAATTTAAACTGCAGATTCGATGTAATGCAGAATAAAAGAAGCCCGTTACAGTGAGTAATCTTTACAAATTGCGGAACGGTGCACTTGTCCTTGACGCGCGATAGAGTGCGACGCTCTGCCTTAAATTTGCCGGCATATACTAGTATATGTTTTCTGAACTTGCCATGATCTGAGTGTTCTGCCGGGCATTTATTCCCTCGACTGAGCTTTCCCAGACTGGGATACGCGTAGTTTACCTGCAGATACATAAATCTGGTTCACTCACAATCAGTTAATTAAGCGTAATAGTTTCAGAAGGATTCCAGACCCCCGTTTCCACCAAACAGAGGAGAGACGTATAAATAATATTAATTAGTTTATTTCACGTTATGCGAGTTCGAGTTTTTTGCACTTTTTGGCAAATGTTTTTTAATGTCGGACATACCTAAATGACTACAAATAATCAAGCGAATATGTAACAAGCTAGCGAGTAGATATGGACACGACCGGTGCCTTTCCAGTGCATGTTTCATACAGCAACGATATCCGACAGGAACCCCAGCGGCAAGGCTAGGAAAAAAGGCGCAACAACCGGTACAACCCATCACAGCCAAGAATACAGTGCAGTCAACGGTAAGCGTTGACGCGACGACCATTTTGTTTCAAGTGAAAATCTTCCCTGCAGGGATTGTGACTGCATAATTTGCATTGGCAGTCGGCCCGTTCAGACGACGGGATTCTGCGCGGAGTAGAAGGGATAGCCGTTGGTGCCGAAGATGCCGTACAACTGCGGAAAGGTCAGGCCGTACTGGCTCAGCTGGTTGTACCTGTACAGAGTTACAAACATCATACATGGGGCGAGAAGAAAAACAGAAATAAATTCTCTGATGTAGAATGTGAATCAAAGTCATTTCTCATGAATAGCTTACATGGGACCGCGGTTGGAGCGACTGCCGGCGGCGATGAACGGGTAGCCTACAAATAATTATAACCGGCATACTATTAGGCTAACTGGCTTTAATATTTATAAGAGATACTGAGCATAATGCGTATGGAACATGTGCTGATTGAGTAATATAAGAAGCGCCAGGGTAGAGTAGCCGTCGTACCGTTGATGCCGGCGAGGCCGTTCTGGACGTTGTAGGGGTTGTATAGGTTGAGGTAGGGGTTCATCTGGAAGGCGGTGGTGTCGCCCTTGTACATGGCGTACTGCGAGGCCAGGTTCATCCAGTCGCCGTAGTTCATGCCCGTCCCGCTCGACGTCGGCAGGCCCTGACTCCACACGCTCCCTATAAAGAAATATCGACATGTACACCGCTGTCAGATGCACCTTTACTGCAGAGCTAACTACGTATAGGGTATATACAATTATGTTTTATTATGGAAATGCTATTTTGTACCAATGACGGCGCATAGCAGCCAAGAAGCAATTATTATTAGGTGCATTCTGCTCTCCGGTTTATTCAATCGGTCCAGTTAACACCGGCTTGGCAAGCCAGGAAAGGGTCGAGAGAAGAAAGCCTCTCCACGGGAACCGGTTTCCTGACAACAGTGAATCGTCTTTTGTCCTCCACTCAAAGCTACTACCCGTTATGCAGTGCACATCCACTTGGCCACTTCTAACTCCACAAATTCACAATCGTAATGCTACCCTGCAAACAATTGAGAAGGTTTACAACATACATAGACAGCAGGTGAAATGTATCTTTTAATTACTCCCATATATATAGTTGCCTTAGCGCTGAATTGAAAAAAAAGCAATACTACCATAAGTGTAACTCTTCTGGTCGTATTTATAGCTTATCGCTACATGTTAATTAAGATGCTTATGAGTTATGATTAATGTCCTGCGTCTCCGTATATATATAATTAATTTCAGTTATAATGATCGAGAAAAAAATTTGCCAAATAGCTAATCGTAACATGATACACATATTCGACTGTGCATTAGTTTTGCAGGAGTGTTTGACACAAAGTACTGCAATACTGTGCTCGTCGGTGTGGAATGGACTTGGTTGATTGGACAGTACTCGGTGCTGTCCTGGGTCCGCTAATAATTGTTGTTAACTTGCATTGTCGATTTGCGGCATGATGCACGTTCTGGCCCCCGCGAAAAACAAATCACAAACCGCAAAAAAATAACGGTAAACATTTTGACCACCGTAACGATTCCACTTCGCAGTGGGCGGCACTTGAACAAAATGACGACGCATCAGTTACGCGGGGAACAAGTGCTGTACAACACGTCTTCATCGGCCGCGTCTCCATTCAGCAGCTCACCTCAACAAATATTTGCCTATTACGCAACTGCAGCTTTTCACAACAACATGTTTAGATCACCTACCCAGTAGTGTGATCACAGACACGTATGCTGAAAGCACAAGGACGCTAATTAGACATCGACCGGAAGTAGTAGCCACTGGCTTACTGCTACATTTACTCGGATGCTAACGATGCCGGCTAATTGTACAATCAGCAAAAGCGCAGTTGGCACAGCGGGATGGCGCTAAATTTCTGGATACGAAGTGGCGAACGTAATCTCGACGCTGGGGAAATCAATCTGCTGACTTTGCATCAGCGCATCAGCTACCAGCAGAACTGCATAAACGCGATATGAGTGCGGATTACGCGTGCCCCGGGAGCCTGCTGCCGGCGGCAATCTCTTCCAGCTGACCACGCCCACGGCCCCACTTACGCGCAAGAACGCACACTTACTCAAAACGACAATCAGCAATAATTAATACCGAGAATTATTCAGAGCGGCCTAGGAAAAGGGATAGGCTGATAGCTGACTGAATGTCATGTAAAAAATTTGCGTGAACAAAATCTCCTGGTTTAGCTGCGGCCAGGAACCAAACACTATGCATGTGAACTTAAAAAAATTTGCTCTACGCGTACAGAGGAAAATGAGAAAGAAGGGCTACCTAACATAAACATAAACAGGACGCTGTATTCAGGAAGCTCCGCTGCATGTATACGTGCTGACTTACCTTCGAATTCCCGTGTCGCTCAGCTTTGCTCAACGTCCACTTTTATCCGAGTTCCTGCTGGGTGTGTCTACGTGCGGCTTATTTGCATAACAACCGATGAAGCAGGGGAAGAAAACAGAGTTTACAAGTGTAAAAGTGAATTAGTGAATGGTTGATCAGTAATATGGAAACGAAACGTACAGGGTATAGCGGCTTTGGTAAAAGTAATTTGTGTGCGCGTGAACGCTGAATTTGAGCTAGTGTACAAATGCTGTACTCGCGCTGGTTGAGGCGTTATACTGTAAATTATCACCTTGGCCGCAGTCTCAAGTACGGCAGAAACCTGCTGCGTTGTTCAGTTTTTCTAGCGTTGTAATAATTGTGTTAGTACAGGTTTCCGGCGGAGTGGCGAAACATGAATTATTTTTGCTAAACGTGTTGGGTGTATGGCTCGTCTTGCCGCGGCTATAGCTTGGGCTAGCCACCTTCGACACTTTTTTCAGCGATAGCGCATCTTTGCGCAAGGAGACAGATGGGTGAAGAGATGGCCCGATTGGCAGCAGAACGGTGACTGTGTGTTCTTTGTATTGCAGATCGTGGGAACCAGATTACCCCGACAGGACAGGACACCGGTTAGAGTGAACTGCTACGACAACGTGACACTGATCACTTATCCAAAAATATACACTTACCAAATGAAAAAAAATAAAACAAATCAAGCTATCCCGGGAAAAGGAGTAGATTGATGATTGAGCGGAGTCTGCGTGCAAGCCACTTTGGTTAAGTTGCCCTTGCCGACTACCGCTTTGGTGCTGTGCCCTTTGGCCTAAAATGTTCGGTCGCCCGCGCTACATGTCTACAATACAGTAATTACATTTACGGTAGAGTGCGTATATGTACTACATAAATTATAAAAGATACAAGCATAAAAATTAATGTATTTATAGCGTACACGATTTGTTTACTACTTTGGTCGTTTTTAATATGCGTCACTACCGCTGAAATTGCAACTATGTCAGAGTGTGTAACCACAACTTCAAAGCGCACTGTACACGTACAACCCATAACGTAATCTCTGATTATTTTGCGAGGAAAGCCAGTAAAGCATGACAGCAGGTGCAGACAGAACCTCTTTGTATTGTTTTATCAATACTGTACAGGAAACATGCGCCGCGTGTTAGTTTGTGGATAATACGAAAAACACAGTCGGCGCAAAAACTCTTTGGTAGCCAAAAAAACGACTGGACCCACAGCAGTGAATAGCAATAAAATAAAGGCTAATAAGTAAAGTGCACAGGAAGAAAATGAGTACCCACAGATACCGCTCCTGTACATGCCCAACAAGCAGAGGAAAGACTGTGGCACCGTCCCCGATCATTTCCGGTTCGCGCCGGCAGCCGCGTCAGAGAACGGTGTAGGTTGACATCTGCGCCGCCAGCGTGAGGGAGAGAAGCGCCAGGAATAGCGGCAACAGACCGGGAGAGGAGGTCCGAAGGGCGGGGGTGGCCTCGGCCAGGAGCCAGTAGACCTGGGGGTCGACGTAAGGGTACTGCGGACTGCCGGCCGTCATGCCGCCCATTCCGTACCCGTACCCCGGCATCCCCATCCCCATTCCCGCGCCGTACATCCCCGGGGCCATGCCCATGCCGCCGTAGTATCCGTAGCCGCCGTAGGGCGGCATTCTGTTTACAAGACACCATTGTTAGTCTTCGCACACACCTCCGACACTCGCTATATTGTCATATAAACATATACACCGGCACTTACCCGTAGCTGTTCATGTATCTCGACCATATCGGACATCCTGCAAACATTACATAAACCTTTACAAATGCCGCTGTGCGTCAGGCCCAGTGGCTGTGATTTCGCTAGCCCGCTGATTGAGTTTTACCGGCGGTGAAGGATGCGAGCAGCACACCAACTGCCAGGACCGGCAGCAAATGCAGCTGATGGATTCCTCCGCTAGACAGGTGCATTCTGCTGTAGCCTCCTCACTCCATGCCAACGACTCGAGCCAAATAAATTTCTCCCACAGCTGACTCTTTCAGCAGCATGCGGACAGTTCTCCTTCCCGGACTTCCCGGGAGAGTATCCCAATCGAACAAAAAAGGAAATCTAACGTCCGCTTGCCTTCGCGGTTCGTAAATATTTAGCGCTCGTTATGTGTAGGCTCTAGTGACTGAATTGACAGAGTATGCGTCGCATGGACGGCGCTCCCAGGTGACGTGTCGCCAGCCGTGTAACGTTGCGGCAAATATCTAGGTTAGGATGCCAGCCGTCCCCGCTAGGGACGAGTAACTCGGGATCCGGACTGGGAAGTGAAGATAAGATGTCTTCATGAAAGTCCGCGCTGCCAGGCCGTATGTGCCGTTACCCGCAGTCGGATGTAGAGTACAGTACTATATCGACCGATTACGCAGTATGTACAACAGAACCACCTGCACCTAGCCACTCCACCATGGAGACCACACTGGCAACCCGCGCTCCGTGGCCATGAGTCAGTGACTAGTTGAATTTCACTTACGTTAAATGTAAGCGGTATGCATGTGGATATATCATAAGCTGCCTGACCGCTTTCCCTGTTTGCAAGCTAAACTTCAATTACCGGTATTATGCGGGTATATTCTATTAACCGTATTAGGCGCGTAATAAAAGCGGTTTCTGGCTTTCTGTGCGGAGCGGAAGTGCATCAACGTAGCGCGGTGTGTACACTCGTACATTATATGCACACAGTCAGGTACTGTACGATACAAGACTTACTGTCAGGTGTATGTACATGTACGCACTGCTTTGATTTCCGGCGGTCAGTGAACCCCTTCCTTGTTTTGACCATCTCTTGCTAACCTGCTGTTAACAGATGTGTGGTGCTGCACAACTACATGTACATACATACCTCGAAATCGGCATACTTTTCCTTATACTTTTTCTATTTTACTTTTACGCGTAATGGACCTCCAAAACTTGTTGTCCTTCATTACTGTTTCGAATCAGAATCATTGGCAATCGTGCTCGCATTGGAAACTAGTAATTTTTTGGCTCTATTGGAAATCGAATGGTTTCCAACACACTGCGATAAAAATGCAGTGTACAAAATGTAATAAAAGCAACTAATTCTCAGCTGATTAGTATGCCAAAATGGTCACTTGGAAGGGCAGTTATAAAAAGGAATATAATGCTCTCCAACAAATAAAATAATGTGTATCATAGTGGGTTGTTTCCCAGGGTAGTTCTGGCGTGGGAAAGTGGATCCTCGCACGTAGGTAACTGCAGTTTTTTGCGGTTATAAGATGCTTATTTACGTATTATGATAACGTATGTTTATTGTACCAGCGCACAATATCAGAAGTCAATAATGTTGCTCTTGCTACAATCACAAGACATGCATGTACAATTGGCTTGACATGTAATGTAGCGGAAATGCAGCGGACAGAAATCGCAGCAGACAGGTTACTTTTGCGAGCAGCGCCGATGCGCAGTTTCGTCTGACAGGTGCGACAACGCAGTGGCATGAACATGGACATGAGAAGCGGGTATATCTAAAAGCGGAGGCATGCCAAAACCAAAAACGAAGTGAAAATTAGAACCAGGGAGAAGGAGGATGCGCCGGCGTGGTTGTAGGCGCCCAGTCCGTAGTTGTAGCCACCGCCGCCGCCGTTGTATCCGCGGACGCCGCCGACCCCGATCTGGCCGCCGGCGCCGAAGAGGTAGGCGGAGTCGGGGGTCAGCTGGCCGACGTTGCCGAGGCCGCCGTAGAAGCCGGTGTAGGAGGGGTTCAGCCACAGCAGACTCCACGGCAGCGCCGCGTACTGCCCCATCCCCGTCGAGCCCGTTTGGCCTGCAACAACGACCGCTGTTGATTCCTCCTGTATCTGTATAGGGTATATGCCCATGTTACCATGTACCACCTAATTACCTTTTATCTATGCAATACAGCTTCTACAGATAATGAGTGTAATCTTTAATACAATTTGTACCAGATTTACGTGGAATAAATTATGTTAAAGGTTAGACAGCACTTTATAATGCAGTGAAATATAGCAAATGTTCTGTCAGAACTACTACTTAAGTTCAGTATAACGTGTTCAACAAGGTGCAATTTACCAATGTACAATATTACTTTACGCGTGACATGATTAGGTGTGCACGCTTATAAATTATTAGTCGGCTATTTACAGTATTTGCCGAACTAGTGAAACCAAGGAACTTAGCATTACGTGTACATTTGGGCGCGTGTACAATACGCGTGATTGACTTACAGGACGCCAGCGGGACATGGCTGAGCAGAAAGGTAGTCAGAAGGGCCACGGACAACGACATCCGGAAACGCTGCCCGGACAATAGAGCGCGCCGAAGTAGCGCATGCATCCTCCGTGGAATTCGGAATCCGGCCGCGAAAGGCACCTGGCTGGGAATAATATCACATTTGCTTCCAGCAAAGCACCCAGTCAGTCTATGTGGTCGAGCGATGCCAGTGTTGTACTGTAAATGCGGAAGGAAGAAATAGATCAGAGCTACGAAGTGGCTTCAAGTGAGCAAATGGGGAAACTCAATTGCTCCCAAACGCATATATCTGGATCTTAACACAATTCTTTTTTGAGAAGAATTGTTTGTCGTTAATGGTACGTACGAGTTTGTAGCGCGTAACGCCTGTCAAGGCATTACTTACTTTTCTTCAGTGTGCCGATTACTCAACCAAAGCCCACTTGTATAATCGTTAGTTCAGAGCGTAGAATATAAGCCCTGTACAATGCATATATATATATATATATACACACAAACAAGTATTAAATCTCAGTGAATTAAGCTTTTTGCGCCGTTAAACGATGCAGGTACGCTACTACAGAGTACTGTACAGTGTACAAGTAGAGAGTAGTGTAGCGCAAAAAGTAGTAATTCTGTCACGGTCAGACCAAGCAATTACGTACTCTTCTCTATATAGATACAACGGCCTCGTGATGGGCGCGGGGTGTGAGCAATCGCAGAGTTAAATAACTCTGACGATCAAATACACACCTGACTACCTCTACCTGCGCGTAATACACCGTAGTTAAGTTCTCAGTGGCCAGCCACACTCGAGACGTTGGCGTGCCGGCGAGGGCCGCATGAGTCCGAGCGCGCCAGCGCTGCGGCGACGGAGCCGGCGGTGTAGCACATGTGCGACGCGGGTTGTAAAAAAGCACATTGCAAGGTCCGCCGCAGCGAAAGAAACGACAGCTTGTCCAGCTGTTTGCTCATTGTGTAGAAATTATGACAAACACTGACGGTTCGCAGTTAGCGCGTCGAACTTCAGCAACAACTGCAGCATGTAGGATCATGCAGCTGAACAATCAACTACACCGCCGGCTACATATTTTCATATTATTAACTTATTAGTGTCAGCAGTTTTCTGTGCTCTGTCACCTCGCGAGCTGTTCACACTTTGCACTATGTGTTAGAACGTGATGCCGTAACTGATTAGTTTTCCCGAAAACGGCTACAAAAATATCTCATACTTCTTTAGCAAAGCAGATGCTTACCTAAACCGGCGCTTCCCACAAGCGTCTAATGCATTACGGGTTATGGGAACCAACCTTCAAAATGCACGGAACTGCAGCCTGCGCTGCATGCATTTAAAATGTTCACCCATGCGCTGTTTTTGTTGATAGATCCCGTTAATTAAACAATTTATATTAACTGACATGTGCATTTTATAGGTAACATTGATCAGTACGCACCTTAAAGTACGTACTATATAATAAATAATAATAATGAGTTTGTTAGTATGTTATACACGTGCACGATGTTACAGGCATACTCGTGCCGTTAACATTGGCTTATTGCTCTTCACACCGGCTGAACGCAGAGGACTTGCATAATTTCCCGTAGTTATGATTTATGAATACGGCATTTTGACGCTAAATTTCGGCCTGTACAGAGTTACCGACTTGGAGCTGTTACAAAGACACCAGATCTGTACAGTACACGACAGAACGTGCAACAAATGTTTGAGCGGAAGTGAGAAGACAGACAACCACACCGTAAATAGAAGGCTACATCCACAAATTTAACGGGCCGCCGGTCCCGGCGGGGGGCATTTCACATACGTATGTATATTCAGCAACTGCCAATTAATAATTGTCTGACAGTAGAAACAGAGAGAAGAAATACAAATGCAACAAAACAACAAAATTTCACCGGTGCTGGCCGGCAACCGAACCGTCCGAGGTTTGTCCGCTGCCAGCCACCGGAAGTAATCCGCAAAATCGATGGAGAGAGCGAGGTGCTGGAGGTTAGAGCCGGGGCGCCGGAAATATGCTTTAAAGTCACTGGTTCCTTTAGCTCTTCCTTAGCATAAGAAGAGAAGATCCTTAGTCTCGGCTTCCAACCAGCTGACTACTTCATGTCGCGCTACACCAGTGTAAAGATCGCGGCTGCTGAATCGGGCTTAATGGGGATATGATCGCTTACCTAGAAGGGATAATATATAATAATTATATTTTCATGATCATAAGCTGTGTATCCAGTGAACTACCTAGTGCATTATTTATATATTACAATAAATATACGAATGTAATGTAGCTAACTTTAATCATACGATTTATACCTCGCGTGCCATCAGTTTCTGTACATAATTATTAATTACAATATGTTATCCAAGGGTGGTTATATATATAAGAAAAATAAATGTTGACGAGTCTTTGCCAGTCCAAAAACTAAAGTCTTAATAACAGTTAATAGGGTAACAGTATGATACAGTGATTCGATCCTACCGTTAGACAGATTGGAATGGGATAAATGTTCGGTTGGTAATGGGTAACTACGTTAACAAGGCTTCGACGGAACGTCTCCGTAATGAGGAAAAGCGTTATTTGGATGGAAGATGGCGTTGGCTGATAATCAGCGATAAGCAGGTTAATTGCGTAACGTAGTCCAAGTAGAACAAACTGGAGCAGCCCGAGCGTTACGTATGCTCCAGATATGTGCAGTATGTGCAATATTTAACGGGAACAGCGTAAGTACGCACAACGTTGGTTGCAGTTAGCGCGGGTGGGTATGGAAATGGTCCGTCCGTGTCGTGAGGTATAATAGTACAGATATGTTGGCGGCACAGTATACTGTAGAAAGCATGCATGCGCAATAATACGTTCTACACACCTGTGTGCATGTTAAAATGCAGGTACATACCATACTGTAAGCGATATCAACACAGTTGAGGTGCCGCTGTAATGTAATTAATACAAGTACAAGCCGGTCCGGAGTTAGAGCACGATAGAGAACAGCTAACGCATAATAAGCGCGATGTTAGCGCTTAGTCGATAGCCACTGCACTACAGCTGGCGCAACTCATGAATTCACATTGTTCGCTGTTCTCTATCGTGCTCTAACTCCGGACCGGCTTGTACGTATTTTGCACGGCAGTGACCATGGAGTTGCGAGTTTTCTCAGCACTCGCAGCAGTGTACAGTTGCTGTTGTAGCGCTTAAGCATGTCGTTGCAGATTTAAAAAAGCCAAAACATTCTCACAGTTGAGCGGTAACGAGTCTACTGAGCCGTGTGTTGTGAGTCTTTTGCTGCGATACGAATCATGATCACCCGAACACTGTACAGTACCGGTATCGCAATCGTACCGATCTTCTAACTACAGCATAAAACAGTGCAAAAGAAAATCAGTGCAGTCAAAATAACAAAAATATGTTTTGCTTTAGGGAGAAAGTGCAGCTGACATTTGACGTATAAAGACTAATCGGAGTATCCGTCCGGTTGTACTTACTGTACTGAACCTAGTAAGAACATAGTAATGTTACACATGTGTTCGCCCTGCGCACGTACAGCGCAAACAGGTACTCTAGGTGTAATGATACATAAAGCGTAAAAAAACACCGACTCATGATTATCTTCTTGAGCACCACTATTGCTTGACGAGCTTCTGCAGAGAATAGTGTATTCTGTACACATTTAGGCAGCCACCCACGGGCGACGTACACTTTAGTCCAGTTAATTGACCTAAAAGCGCGTACTGTTTTATTGGAGAGAAGGATCGTGACCTTTAGTGCTTTTCAAAAATCTACGCTCTCGGTATTATACAGTATTTGCCACATTTTGCGATTTAAAGTGGCTATTTCAGCTTGTACTCGTACAGTATTTCCAGACAATGAGTGTTGTCAACTTAAAGTTAAATATATATATGCATCTCGATCAACTGCACGCTTGGATCGGCATTTGCGATATGAAACGGTGACTGCATGATCGACTGACCAACTATTACAAACAAGATACATACAACTATATTCACTTTTGCCAGAATACATTATTTATTAGAATTTATGACTAGCGAAGCCGACGACAATGAGCAATTTTTATAATACAAATTCTATATACGACCCTTCCCGAAAAAGCTGTCCTAACTGCAGCCGGCTCGTACTCGTTGCGGAAGGTACAACAGACGTTACTTTCTTCCGGTACAACGTGTTCGTACACTTTCATTGTAGCGGCTGTATATTATGAGCTGCACCTTCACAGTTTCACGGCATATCAATTAAACCTGTTTGGGTAAATAGTATGTTGATGTTGGTCTGTGTAATAGTCATTCATTCTTTTCAGTCCGAAATGGGATCGCAGACAAACATTAATGCTTCATGATTATGGCATGACAAAAATGCCAATCCACACGCTTTGACAATATTCCGTGTCCACACCCTCGACAATACACCTATTTGAATAACACTGCTTGCACAATGCCATCGACGCGATTAAATACCGCTATGCTACACTGCAGACAGAAATTTATTATTGTGTGGCCATTACTCATACGTACATACAACAAAAAATTACACCGTGAAAATTAATTTTATCGAATTATAGTTCCAGTTGAAAACAGGTAAGGCATAAGTATGCTTATTATGAGCCATTCCCACCTTAATCATCAGGTGACCAAAATAAGGTGAAATTATGGATCGATACATGCGCGAGCACCGTAACTCATATCTATAATTACCGGCAAACGTTATTGCACATGGTGCGGCACTCGTGATCCTGAGGAAACAACAGATTAACGATTTTCTCAATGGGAGAACGCGTAGAATTTGCACTCACATATACGATACTGCAGGTCGATGGGCAGTTGTATCATGGGAAAGGTCATTCACCTAGGCATGCGGTAGCGGAAGCAGCGTCCCGTTGCAAAAGCAAGTGGACGTTTACGATTATTACCTCTACGGCTCTACCAGTTTACGATGTATCTGTCACTTCTACTCGCAGAGTGCAGTGTACACCATACCTTCACTGTATTCGCCATACAGTACACAGGAAGAGGAAGAGGTAGACCGACGTGACTGGCTAGGCCAGTTGTCAAACCGGAACCGCAACTATCAGGAATGGAGATAAGCTTCAAGCTTTCTGCCAAGGCCAACTGACCATGCAGCTCATGATCCTAGCAAAACCAGTTTACTTCACACACTAGAGTATAGTGGAACATTTTTTATTATATATTTTGCGTTGTTTTGGTGACTTTTGTAGCGAAAATTTAATTGAAGTGTACCATCGCCTAAAGTAATATATATAACTTTACGATGCACGGATGCAGCCTAACCATTACAGTATTGTTGTCCATCTGGGAAGGCTAATGCAGCATGCTCCTTTAAAACTGCCAGAAGAGGCATTTGCTATCGCTATGGCTTCCACCTGCAGCAGCGAGGAGCGTTTGTCCCACAGTAGGTTGGCGACGCATAAGACTGCTGTATCTGTATATGGTGCGGTCAGATGACCGGCAGGAAGTAAACAGACAGCAAGTGACTGACCGCTGACTCAGCGCTGTAATTCGCCGAATGGAACCGGAACTGGACTGACAAGGTGGCCGCGGGTGTGAATGACCACCTCTCGATCGCTGCAGCCAGCTGTAGGAAGTGTACCTCTGTACGGCGTAAATACAGCACGTACCAATGCGCCTGCGCCGGGGCAAACCTGCACTGGGCAATCTTGGGAACTGAGCTCTGCTCCATATACTGTGCTACATATCTGTACAAACTACAACAGCAGCCACTTGCTATCGATGTATATCTACTTAAGCTTTGATCAACCAGAAAAAGCTGCCCTTAATTACGAACAGGAACAGATACTTACGTACATACCGTAGCTACAGTCTACAGGTTCCCTTACGGTTAGCGAATAACTCACTTGTGGTCTCGTTCCCAGTTTGATTAAGGGTACTTATTAACAAAACAGTCAGTTAATATCGTAGTCTGTCGCACGCGACATGGACAAATTAGTGCACAAAAAGTCTACAAACATATACCGACAAGCAATTAATTAATAGCACTTACGCTGATTAACTTGCCAGCTGGCTGGAATTACAGAAAAATATGTGTATACTAAGAGCTCTACGAGTAGAAATTACAGTAAAGTATGCTCATCAATTCCGTTAATGTTTTAATTTGCTTTCTCAACGGACACTAGACAACAAAGCGTTTGTACAAAGAGAAAAAGCGCTTATGACAGCTTTTGGCACGGTAATTTCCACAGAGCACATGCAGCTCAAACAGGGCGAACCGGCAGAAGGGACCAGGTCCGCCGGCGCCGTTGTGGCAAGCTAGTCGGTACTCTGTAGTGTTCACGAAGCAGCTTCGCAATTGTCACCCATCAGCATTGCCGGCACTATATATACACGGCTATTAACAGCGTCAATCCCCGCCAAAGCGCTCCGTACACGGATGCCAGGCCCGTTGCCGGCTGCATTTATCCCGCAGGCACACGCTCGTAAGAGCGCTGGCTACCGCGATGTGCGGAGACTGCTGACGATGGCGAGGAGCGAGAGGGCCACCGCGGCGGCGTTACAGCGGTGGGGCCTGACGGAGGGGGCGGCGTTCCAGCCGGGCATGCCGAAGCCGCCCATGGCGCCGCCCATGCCGCCGCCGCCGCCGAGACCGTAGGCGCCGGCGCCCAGCCAGCTGAGGGCGCCCAGCGGACTGCCGCCGTAGATGGAGGCCTGCCAGCCCGACATGTAGGGCATGGCGCCGATGCCGCCGTAGAAGCCCGAGTAGTAGGGCTGCGTGAAGCCGTAGTAGGTGATGGGGTTCAGCCGGTTGTACCCGCTCGCGTCCCAGTACTGGCCTGCAAATACACACCAGCATCAATTACTCCGCTACGACTGCTTAATCCCGACTCAACACAGCTGCATTTATCTATGTACTGTACATATTTATATACATTTTTATGTATATGTATGTGTACATTTACATATATACTGCATCTGTAATCTATATACACCGAATCAAGAACTACTACGGTACGTGTTATCGAGCACTTTATAGCAGAAGAGTCAGATAATTGCTATGAGTTGAGCAGGAGCCTAATTCTGGAGTTTCTGCTACTTACTCCTCACAGCTGGCATCCAGCTGGCGGCGCACAGTGCAGCCAGCAGCAAACAAGCCAGCTTCCGGTCGGCGCCGGCTAGTACGGATCTGCATATTGCCCACTTGCAATGGGCGGCCATTTCACTTTATTCCCAGGAACGACTGCAGTATACAGATAGTTGATATTCGGCGACACAGAAGAACTGCTGGCTGGGACGCTACATTATTCGTTGGCTCCCAGCAGAGGAGCGCAGGAGCGAGCGCCTATATATAAGTTTGACTGCAGGCTAGTGCTGCGCCTTGGCCGGGACTGCTTCTTCCGGCAGTGCCGAGTCTCCGTCAATTAACTGCCGCAGCCGCTGCCGGCGGATCCCTGGCGTCGTACTGCCAACGTCGGATTAGAAGGGGCTCCTCGCTCCAGCTCTCGCTCACTGATCCGGTCAATTCGACGCGATGCAGTGCAGTGCACGGACAGCTCTTTCCGCTGCACAGGTTGTCAGTGCGCGGCGGAGCGCCTAGTGGGTGACTTGCTGTGTGTTGGGGAATAAGGTTCAGTCCGTACTCTGTATATATGGGCAACTGGGCGGTGTTCCGTAGTTATCCCGTCGATTGCATTGGCTCAGAGCCTCAGAAGGATTACGTCTCCCTTTCGCAGCTGTAAATCGGACCACCTATTAATTACATGCAAACGGTATTGCTCCGTTAGGAGACACGTACGGCTTACCTGGCGACAATCAACAACAGAGCCTGGAAATGCGACCGGAAGTGGCTTCGTGGATCAGTTGGGCAGGGGTTCGCTTTCCTGAGAAGAACTCTTATCAGCTATTAGCGTCGATCATCACCCTTTACAAGCAATGTTGGCCTGTCACTTTTCCGCAAATGTTAAGTACAACTGCTACATGCGCTACAGTATCGACGAGTCTTACAAGACTGCTACAGTTAAGTTTTGCTGTCGTACCTACTGCCGCATTATACTGTATCTGCAGTGGCACAGCTAACAAACTCGTTAGCGGTGCCTTCTAATGTATTGTACAAGCAGCTCGTTGGCACTGGCAGTCGATCGGTATCGGCATGGTATCGGTGTGACCCGATTTGTATTATATCTATATATACACATGCGTATACAACATGTTGCCAATGTAGTGCAAAGACTGCAAACACAGCATTACACTTGGTGCGATCGATGTATTATAAAAAATTATAAATACCTATCCAAAACGCCATTTCCCAGCACCAGCTGCAATAAGCGCTAAATTAAGTAATGCCTAATAGCAAGAGTAAGGGAAACACTAGGCATGCAATGGACTTTGTCACTTAATCCTGTGTCCAAGGTCTGCACTCCGCAATCAATACAAACAACAACCAAACAATGGAAAAATGCTCCAGTGTTGTGCCGTGTGCGCAATTATTGTATGCAGCAGAGTCACAGGGACACTGGCCAGCGGCTAAGATGTTCATTCATCAACTTACGGCACAGTTTACCTTAATAAAAACTTTAGTATGATCATAGTATATACTCATATCCATATAATTATAGTATATAATAATTATAGTATCATCGTAGTATCGTTAACATTAACAAGTAACAGTCCCTTACAGTCCCTTCTCATGTTAATTGGGACAAATTCTTCATTTGATCATGTTTGTTCAGCGAAGCTCGCCTTCACCTTGTACATATTGAGAAATAAACATACAAGTAACATAAACATTGGTTTCGGTACAAAACTATTTACCAGCACAAATCTATTTTCTGAATTATCATTTATGCACAAGCACTCGTACACAATTTAATGGTAAACCCCGTTTCGCTGACAATTAACGTGAAAATATGGATATAGGTATAATACGAAAATCTATCACTATGTACGCCGTATTAACACTTAACAGTAAGAACGCTACAGCTTCCGGCGGAAATGAGTAGAGCTGCTTTTGCACCATCAGAGCGGCGACCGTGGTAGTGCAGCCGTGCGACACCGTTATTGGTGCCGAGTGCATGCCTGCATGGCGCATTACTCATCCACTCATCAGATGCAACTTTATCTGCAAAAATCAGCTGATTTTGACGCTGGTGGAGTTGTAGGAACTTGTACGTCACTTTAACCCACACCTGGATTTTCAGCTGGACGCTTGGGATTTGTGTGGAACGTGGCGAACCCCATCTGTAGAATTAGCAAGCGTTGTGCTTTTTGGGGGTTCTAAACTTCTAACAGTGTTGAAGGTGTTTGTCAGGCCAAGCCGCGTCATTTCATCAGCGACTGTACTCTACGATTGAAGCTTGATTATCGACGGCTACGTGCTCGTTGCTGGTTTGAGTTTATCCGCTGTCTGCACACCCCACCTCTCCAAGATGTCCGGTAAATTGCAAGCAGTCAAGATATGCGCAAGCAAGTGGAATATATAGCGTATAAAGTGGTTGGTTGGCCCGCAGGTCGAAGGATCCTGCGCTGCTCCGCTCTCCTGCAGTCCGCTGCCTCACAACCACCAGTCAGGCTGCCAGCCGTCGCTCAGCGGGCCTTCAGCGTGTCGTCCAGCCGCTCATCTGGCCAGTTCTACCCGGTGGACGACAAGCTGTTCGGGCTGAACGAGGACCAGCAGCAGCTGCGCTCCAGCGTCTTCACCTTCGTGCAGAAGGAGTTGGCGCCCCACGCAGCGCAGATCGACGCCGAGAACAACTTCAAGGACTTGCGCGAGTTCTGGAAGAAGCTGGGCAACCTCGGGCTGCTGGGCATGACGGCGCCAGGTCAGTCAGTGAGCCAGTCAAAGAGAGGGGCACATGCTGCAACAGCAGCCCAGATGATAAAATGAAATTATACGTAACGATGTGATGCCTGTGTCATGTGTGTAGAAGAGTACGGCGGCAGCAACCTGGGCTACCTGGCGCACGTGATCGCCTACGAGGAGATCTCGCGGGCCTCGGGCGCCATCGGGCTGAGCTACGGCGCCCACTCCAACCTCTGCGTCAACCAGATCACGCGCCACGGCACGCCCGAGCAGAAGAAGAAATACCTGCCCAAGGTGAGGGGGAGATAGTCACTGGTTCGGTGCTATAGGGTTGCGCATCTTGTGCTTAATGATCGTGTTATTAGCTGACGAGCGGGGAGTTCATGGGCGCCCTGGCCATGAGCGAGGCCGGCAGCGGCTCCGACGTGGTCTCCATGCGCACCAAGGCGCAACGCTCCCAAGATGGCAGCCACTACGTCCTCAACGGCAGCAAGTTCTGGATCACCAACGGCCCGGACGCCGACGTCGTCGTCGTCTACGCCAAGACCGACGCGCAGGCCAAGCCGCAGCACAGCATCACCGCCTTCCTCGTTGACAAGGGCACGCCGGGCTTCAAAACCGCCCAGAAGCTGGACAAGCTGGGTAATGACTGAGCATGGCTGCTTGTCCTGCTGGTTATTGGGAGTGCTGTCTTCTGCACAGGCATGCGCGGCTCCAACACCTGCGAACTGGTCTTCGAAGACTGCAAAGTGCCGGCGGAGAACGTGCTCGGCCAGGTATGATGACATATTTTCCAGTTGCCGTCACGCCGAGAGCATCAACTGACGAAGTGGTTGGTTACTGCAGATCAATAAAGGCGTGTACGTGCTGATGTCGGGGCTGGACACGGAGCGCCTGATCCTGAGCGCCGGGCCGGTGGGCATCATGCAGGCCTGCTGCGACACCACCTTCGACTACGTGCACCAGCGCAAGCAGTTCGGCAAGCAGATCGGCACCTTCCAGGTACCGTTACAGCCTGCGGATACCTGTATTTCTTGGGAGTGTACTGACGGCTGTTGTTGCAGTTGATGCAGGGGAAGATGGCGGACATGTACACGACGCTGAGCGCCTGCCGCTCCTACGTGTACAACGTGGCGCGCGCCTGCGACGCCGGCCACTTCAGCTCCAAGGACTGCGCCGGCGCCATCCTCTACGCCGCCGAGTCGGCCACGCAGGTGGCGCTGCAGGCCATCCAGGTCGGTGCTAAATAAACACGGGACCGTCTATCTATCGTTGTAGCTTCACGACTGTCTGACCTGTTGAATTCAACAGGCGCTGGGCGGGAACGGCTACATCAACGACTACCCCACCGGGCGGTACCTGCGCGACGCCAAACTGTACGAGATCGGCGCCGGCACCAGCGAGGTGCGCCGCTCCCTCATCGGCCGCCGGTTGAACGACGAGTACGGCATGTGCGCCTAGTGCTCCAGTCGAGAAAAGATTGGCTCCGTCTGCACTTATAACCCGGCAAGGGGAGCAAGAAGCAGCACCGATTGTTTTACTGAATTTGCCACGTAATTGGTTCAGTATGATATTGTTTTACGGGTCGTTTCACGAGTTGATAGAGTAATCTGCGACTGATTTATTGCACAAGGGTTGTTGACGCTCCACCTGGAATTTGTCGAGCGCACACTGGTGGAGTTATGGGTTTGGCGTTGGCCGTTGGGAATGATTAAGTAATTTTAGGGTTTTAGCCGTTTTACCAGCTGTTCATTGTTTTACCATACGAAACGTGTTCTGTGTAATCGCGAAGGAAGGTTGTGTCAACTGTTTACTTGCTTTTGAAAGAGATTTACGATTGCCCTTTTAACAAGACTGCACTATTCTGTATTCCTGTGCAATGGTATGTATATCGAAAAAATTACATAGCATCCATCGGTGATTTATTGCGCGCAGTTTGCGCGGGTCTACTAGTCTATACTTTATTCATTGAAAGACAGGTGTTAATCACAAGAATCGATTAAAAAATTTTACAAAAATCAATAAAAAAATTCAGTGAAAAGGGTGACAGGCAGAGATTAATACTGCTTAAGAGTCAAAACAAAATTAAGGCTGTTCGAGCTCAGCAGCAGGCTGCAGTTCGTGCGCATCAGCGGGATCCAGGCCGTAGGCAGCACCGGGATCAAGGCCGTTTGCACCGGGATCCATGCCATACGCACCGGGATTCATGCCGTACGCACCGGGATTCATGCCATAGCCAGCACCGGGATTCATGCCGTACGCACCGCGATTCATGCCATAGCCAGCACCGGGATTCATGCCGTACGCACCGCGATTCATGCCATAGCCAGCACCGGGATTCATGCCGTACGCACCGCGATTCATGCCATAGCCAGCACCGGGATTCATGCCGTACGCACCGCGATTCATGCCATAGCCAGCACCGGGATTCATGCCGTACGCACCGCGATTCATGCCATAGCCAGCACCGGGATTCATGCCGTACGCACCGCGATTCATGCCATAGCCAGCACCGGGATTCATGCCGTACGCACCGCGATTCATGCCATAGCCAGCACCGGGATTCATGCCGTACGCACCGGGATTCATGCCATAGCCAGCACCGGGATTCATGCCGTACGCACCGCGATTCATGCCATAGCCAGCACCGGGATTCATGCCGTACGCACCGCGATTCATGCCATAGCCAGCACCGGGATTCATGCCGTACGCACCGGGATTCATGCCATAGCCAGCACCGGGATTCATGCCGTACGCACGGGATTCATGCCATAGCCAGCACCGGGATTCATGCCGTACGCACCGGGATTCATGCCATAGCCAGCACCGGGATTCATGCCGTACGCACCGGGATTCATGCCATAGCCAGCACCGGGATTCATGCCGTACGCACCGGGATTCATGCCATAGCCAGCACCGGGATTCATGCCGTACGCACCGCGATTCATGCCATAGCCAGCACCGGGATTCATGCCGTACGCACCGGGATTCATGCCATAGCCAGCACCGGGATTCATGCCGTACGCACCGGGATTCATGCCATAGCCAGCACCGGGATTCATGCCGTACGCACCGGGATTCATGCCATAGCCAGCACCGGGATTCATGCCGTACGCACCGGGATTCATGCCATAGCCAGCACCGGGATTCATGCCGTACGCACCGCGATTCATGCCATAGCCAGCACCGGGATTCATGCCGTACGCACCGCGATTCATGCCATAGCCAGCACCGGGATTCATGCCGTACGCACCGGGATTCATGCCATAGCCAGCACCGGGATTCATGCCGTACGCACCGGGATTCATGCCATAGCCAGCACCGGGATTCATGCCGTACGCACCGGGATTCATGCCATAGCCAGCACCGGGATTCATGCCGTACGCACCGGGATTCATGCCATAGCCAGCACCGGGATTCATGCCGTACGCACCGGGATTCATGCCATAGCCAGCACCGGGATTCATGCCGTACGCACCGGGATTCATGCCATAGCCAGCACCGGGATTCATGCCGTACGCACCGGGATTCATGCCATAGCCAGCACCGGGATTCATGCCGTACGCACCGGGATTCATGCCATAGCCAGCACCGGGATTCATGCCGTACGCACCGGGATTCATGCCATAGCCAGCACCGGGATTCATGCCGTACGCACCGGGATTCATGCCATAGCCAGCACCGGGATTCATGCCGTACGCACCGGGATTCATGCCATAGCCAGCACCGGGATTCATGCCGTACGCACCGGGATTCATGCCATAGCCAGCACCGGGATTCATGCCGTACGCACCGGGATTCATGCCATAGCCAGCACCGGGATTCATGCCGTACGCACCGGGATTCATGCCATAGCCAGCACCGGGATTCATGCCGTACGCACCGGGATTCATGCCATAGCCAGCACCGGGATTCATGCCGTACGCACCGGGATTCATGCCATAGCCAGCACCACTGGGATTCATGCCGTACGCACCGCGATTCATGCCATAGCCAGCACCGGGATTCATGCCGTACGCACCGCGATTCATGCCATAGCCAGCACCGGGATTCATGCCGTACGCACCGCGATTCATGCCATAGCCAGCACCGGGATTCATGCCGTACGCACCGGGATTCATGCCATAGCCAGCACCGGGATTCATGCCGTACGCACCGGGATTCATGCCATAGCCAGCACCGGGATTCATGCCGTACGCACCGGGATTCATGCCATAGCCAGCACCGGGATTCATGCCGTACGCACCGGGATTCATGCCATAGCCAGCACCGGGATTCATGCCGTACGCACCGGGATTCATGCCATAGCCAGCACCGGGATTCATGCCGTACGCACCGCGATTCATGCCATAGCCAGCACCGGGATTCATGCCGTACGCACCGCGATTCATGCCATAGCCAGCACCGGGATTCATGCCGTACGCACCGGGATTCATGCCATAGCCAGCACCGGGATTCATGCCGTACGCACCGCGATTCATGCCATAGCCAGCACCGGGATTCATGCCGTACGCACCGGGATTCATGCCATAGCCAGCACCGGGATTCATGCCGTACGCACCGGGATTCATGCCATAGCCAGCACCGGGATTCATGCCGTACGCACCGGGATTCATGCCATAGCCAGCACCGGGATTCATGCCGTACGCACCGCGATTCATGCCATAGCCAGCACCGGGATTCATGCCGTACGCACCGCGATTCATGCCATAGCCAGCACCGGGATTCATGCCGTACGCACCGGGATTCATGCCATAGCCAGCACCGGGATTCATGCCGTACGCACCGGGATTCATGCCATAGCCAGCACCGGGATTCATGCCGTACGCACCGCGATTCATGCCATAGCCAGCACCGGGATTCATGCCGTACGCACCGGGATTCATGCCATAGCCAGCACCGGGATTCATGCCGTACGCACCGGGATTCATGCCATAGCCAGCACCGGGATTCATGCCGTACGCACCGGGATTCATGCCATAGCCAGCACCGGGATTCATGCCGTACGCACCGCGATTCATGCCATAGCCAGCACCGGGATTCATGCCGTACGCACCGCGATTCATGCCATAGCCAGCACCGGGATTCATGCCGTACGCACCGGGATTCATGCCATAGCCAGCACCGGGATTCATGCCGTACGCACCGGGATTCATGCCATAGCCAGCACCGGGATTCATGCCGTACGCACCGCGATTCATGCCATAGCCAGCACCGGGATTCATGCCGTACGCACCGGGATTCATGCCATAGCCAGCACCGGGATTCATGCCGTACGCACCGCGATTCATGCCATAGCCAGCACCGGGATTCATGCCGTACGCACCGGGATTCATGCCATAGCCAGCACCGGGATTCATGCCGTACGCACCGGGATTCATGCCATAGCCAGCACCGGGATTCATGCCGTACGCACCGCGATTCATGCCATAGCCAGCACCGGGATTCATGCCGTACGCACCGCGATTCATGCCATAGCCAGCACCGGGATTCATGCCGTACGCACCGCGATTCATGCCATAGCCAGCACCGGGATTCATGCCGTACGCACCGGGATTCATGCCATAGCCAGCACCGGGATTCATGCCGTACGCACCGGGATTCATGCCATAGCCAGCACCGGGATTCATGCCGTACGCACCGCGATTCATGCCATAGCCAGCACCGGGATTCATGCCGTACGCACCGCGATTCATGCCATAGCCAGCACCGGGATTCATGCCGTACGCACCGGGATTCATGCCATAGCCAGCACCGGGATTCATGCCGTACGCACCGGGATTCATGCCATAGCCAGCACCGGGATTCATGCCGTACGCACCGCGATTCATGCCATAGCCAGCACCGGGATTCATGCCGTACGCACCGGGATTCATGCCATAGCCAGCACCGGGATTCATGCCGTACGCACCGGGATTCATGCCATAGCCAGCACCGGGATTCATGCCGTACGCACCGGGATTCATGCCATAGCCAGCACCGGGATTCATGCCGTACGCACCGGGATTCATGCCATAGCCAGCACCGGGATTCATGCCGTACGCACCGGGATTCATGCCATAGCCAGCACCGGGATTCATGCCGTACGCACCGGGATTCATGCCATAGCCAGCACCGGGATTCATGCCGTACGCACCGCGATTCATGCCATAGCCAGCACCGGGATTCATGCCGTACGCACCGCGATTCATGCCATAGCCAGCACCGGGATTCATGCCGTACGCACCGGGATTCATGCCATAGCCAGCACCGGGATTCATGCCGTACGCACCGCGATTCATGCCATAGCCAGCACCGGGATTCATGCCGTACGCACCGCGATTCATGCCATAGCCAGCACCGGGATTCATGCCGTACGCACCGGGATTCATGCCATAGCCAGCACCGGGATTCATGCCGTACGCACCGGGATTCATGCCATAGCCAGCACCGGGATTCATGCCGTACGCACCGGGATTCATGCCATAGCCAGCACCGGGATTCATGCCGTACGCACCGGGATTCATGCCATAGCCAGCACCGGGATTCATGCCGTACGCACCGCGATTCATGCCATAGCCAGCACCGGGATTCATGCCGTACGCACCGCGATTCATGCCATAGCCAGCACCGGGATTCATGCCGTACGCACCGGGATTCATGCCATAGCCAGCACCGGGATTCATGCCGTACGCACCGGGATTCATGCCATAGCCAGCACCGGGATTCATGCCGTACGCACCGCGATTCATGCCATAGCCAGCACCGGGATTCATGCCGTACGCACCGGGATTCATGCCATAGCCAGCACCGGGATTCATGCCGTACGCACCGGGATTCATGCCATAGCCAGCACCGGGATTCATGCCGTACGCACCGATTCATGCCAT